GCAGCCACAGGCCCCTGGGCAGCTGAGAGGCACTGTCCTTCAATGGAGTAAAACACAGAATTACGGAACTATAGTTTGTGGTTTTACATGTGTGGGTTCCCATATGATGAATTTGTAATTTATCCTAGCTTCCGGATAGATTCTTGAGCACTGGCATCTCACTGTCTTCAAAATGCACTCTGTAAAAACAGGTCTGAAGAATCTACTTGCCTCAGTTTCCAAGGTGCCAATATCTTGCAACATTATGATAGTTTCAGAAATGTTATATCTGAGGAATCATATTTCACTGATGTGTAAGGTACAAGTGGGTGGCCTATAAGACATTAACCTTTCTAAGTACAAAGTTACACTTAAGTTAGAAGAAGCCACTCTAAGAGTTATGCTAACCTATTTGTTTTGCTGGCTTCATTTTTGCTAGGCTATACAATTCAAAAGCAAGCGGGATTTGTAAGTGAATTAGAGAAAGTTTCAAAGTCAAAAGACAGAAAAATAGCATGAATATTTAATACAGAATCCTCATAAACATGCAGGAACTCCACTGTGGAACTAGATCATAATGAAGTGGAAATCCTGTGGGTCAGCAGTACATATTTAATGATTATCAGAAGGAGTCTCATTTCACAAGAGATCATAAGCCATGTAAATCACATTTTTTTAAAAATAATTGCGGACAGATTGTCGAACATCAAAAGATCTATACTTATAATAAAAATCTTGCATTTGATATCGCATTTTATCATGTCATCAAGACATCCTAAAACACGATACAGGATATAGATCACAGGATATGTTGAAAGTGGTATGACTGTGCGTATCTTGTGGGCGAATGTTATATCTGTGTGACTAAGCAGGAAATAATTAAATATGTTCCTGCTTTAGTGCAACATCCGTTCTCCAAAAAAATACTCCCCTTCTACAGTGTGAAAAATGTTCTCTTGTAAACCAAAACCTTTGAACATAGCCCTGTTCAATATTCTAAAATATATCATTATAATCATTACAACTTTCAAAATATTGAGTGTTACCAATTATTTTAAGTAATCAATATGTCAGATATACTGCTAGATATTATAACAGTTACAGAAATTTGTAATGAAGGTTAATTTCACAGAACTACTTTGTTTCAGCTTGTTTTATGTAGTATTTCATATAGACACCTTCTCCACATTTGGCTGAAAACACAGACGGGCTTGAAATCAGAGAGGGAAGGAGAAAGGGAGAGAGATTTCAGGAGAGTTTCAGATGGAGGAGTCAAAGTGGCTGAAGACCAATTTGCCAGTGGCAGGGAGGAGTTTGTGTAGAATGGGGCTGGGGGTGACTTGTGTGGGAAATGTTGAACCTGGAGATGACAAAGGCTTAGATGAGGATTTTGACTGTGTTGGGGGTAAGGTAGTGACATAGATGGGCGACATAATGAAGATGGAAGAAAGTGGACTTGGTCATAGACTTGGTCAGATGAAAAGATTGAAGGAGAGTTGAGGGTTGAAAATATTGCAGAGGTTCTGCGCAGGCTCACGGGAAACAATCAGGAAGGTTGAAACAGTTAGCACTTGACATGAGGAGTTTGTGGTAGCCAAGCAGTATAACCTCAATTTTGTTGACGTTAAGTTGGAAAAGTTATGGCTCATTCAGCATTTGATGTCTGACAGGCAATCTGTCAGAACAGCAATGATTGTGGATGCAGTACCAGGCATTTAATGAATTAAAAAAGCTAGCAAAAACTTCGCAACAGTCTGAACATTGTGTTAGAGTATCTATAATGTCAAAATTTATCAACTCTTCTCATAATAATTAAGTTCTCTAGCTACAATAGAACTAATTATATGCAATTGTGGTATCATGTAGCTTTAAGCAACAGCATTATAGATTATCTAATCCAGTCAGACTAAACCATGGCAGATATATGTGTTTGCTCAATCTTTATCTGATCCATAAAACGACTGCTGTAGGAAGATTAGTGGAGTCCTGTACCTTAGTGGTTAGAGCACTTGCCTCACAAGCGAGAAACCTGGATTCGATTCCCAGACAGGGCGAAACCTTGGGCAAGTTTCCTTATTCCACACGCCTGATAATAATTCCTCAAGAAAAAAAACTATAATAAATTGGTCACTTCAATCCACGATTGCTTGTGGGACACTGCTGTGGGCAATTGGCTGCCGCATTTCGCCCACAAATATCCAATCAATTCACTTTACAATATATTCTGTGAAGCGCTTTGAGACTTCTAGAAGATGTAAAAAGCACTATATCAAATGCAAGGATTATTATTATCATTAATTATTAAAATTATACTTTTATTGGGAAGCTTTTATTCTGCTTACCATTATATTCAAAACAATCTCAGATTGTGAAACTGCAATATGCTTTCATTCATATCCAGAAAGTAATGTATTGAAATGAAAATCAAATGTAACCTCGCTTGTATTTGCTAGACTTGAACACCATGCCAACTGTTTAAAGCTGAGCCAAGGACTCGCACTCTCGTCTCAGCATTGGAAACCACTATACTTCATATGTTTTCATTGTTTCTATCACTTACTACCTCCATTCTCTGCTGAATTGTTGTATTAAAACATCAAAAATAAATATACTGAATATGATAGTATTTTGTGAAAAGAATACAAATAATACTGTATACATTTTAATATGGCCACAGTGGTAATGAAATCAAGTTTATTTTTAAACGTTTCCCAGGGCCTTAAGAATGGGGAACTACTTAGCTCAGTATTGGCTTACTTCAACAAAATGCAGACATTTAAAACCTAAGCTTGGTGTTGACCAGTAGGTTTTAGTGGATTTAACTTATTTTTTCAGCCATGTTAGTGTGCTGCTCTCGCCTCAATCCTTCACCTGCTTCTCAATATATAAAAGAAAGGGATCAGAGGTGCTGAGACAGAAGGGTGAATAATTGATAATGGATGATAGCAGCAGGAAGTTATACCATACTTATACCCAATTGCCCAGTACTGTATTGTCGGCCAAGATATCAATCCAAGTGTTCTGTTTACACTGGAAGAAGCAGCCTAGTTGCCAGATGTATTTAAACTCCATTTGCCACTAAAATGCAATGTCGATTTCGAATTCCCAAACCAAAATGTGCTGGAATTTCAATTAATTTGGAAAAATCTTGTTTACCAAATTCAAACCTTTCCAATAATGTCTATTCAGCTGTATACAGCAAATTATGTGTAGACCAACTAGCTGTTGGGGTTTTGTAGGCTGGTTTCAGCAGTATTTTCAAGCTAGTTCAAGTTGCAGGGATTGACAGAAGTAAACACAGTTTTAAATTACTTTCTCTTGATGGTAATAAAATGCAAAATTTGTTCATGTAGGAGAGATATTCCACTTGGATCCATTTTCTTTTCATTTCAGGTTGTCCATAATTTGATAAATAAGGTTAACTTTGAAGCTGATTTTCTGCAGTTAAAAGAATTTACACAGAAATCCAGCTCACTCTCTACTTCATTTGATACTTGAGATTTGTTTTGGAGGAAGTGATGGGAGGATTCATTGTGGTCTCATTTGTCTCACCTCCATCATTTATAATATGCCATTAAAGAGGCATTTACCTACAAAATACGCAGTTACTGCACTTTAGAGTCAATGGGAAAGATGTTGCAGTATATCAAAACAAATGCAAGAATTATTATTATTTTATCATCTTGAATGCATTAGCAGTTTTCGCTCTGCCGTTTGGTTTTGCAAACAGTATTTCTGCCTTCCTTAGGTTCTGCCCTGTTCTGTGTATCTGCTGAGAGGCACAGCCTGATCAGGAGATCTAGTTCATAGAGATTTCTGTTGGGCAGCTCTGGAGGTGTGGGAGAGTGACTGACTTACTCATGTAGTTAGCACCACATAACCTGACAATGTGGCTCCTATGATGCATTCTCTCTCATTCAGAAAAACAAAAGTACAACAAGGAGAATAAAGTAATCCTTTTTAAGAGAGGTAGTGTTAGTGCAGTGACTGTGTATTTTATAGGTAAATGCCTCTTTAATAAATGATGGAGATGAGCACTACAAATGAGACCATAATGAATCCTCCCACCCCTTCCTCAAAAAAAATCTCAAGCAACATATTAAGCGGAATGAGAGCCAGTTTGTAAGGAAGGGTGGAATGTGCATGAGTCCAATGACATCTGATTTCAATTACTGCTATTAAAAAGGATCTTGTGCAGTTTATTGTTCTGCAGTATGGATTGGAACCAGTCGAACATAGCTGGACGGGGGTGGTGTGGTGTTACCATTAAAGATAGATAATAAAACCCCATTCCCTGAATCAAGAGGGTAAGCTTTAGAATGTCAGCAGATCCAGGGGAGTTATGTTGCCCTGGGCTGGGTTTTTTTCCCTCTTTGGCTCATGTATTGTAATACTGAAATAAAAACAAATATTACAGTAATAAATGCAGTTCACTGTCTGGAATAGTTTTCTTTTGTAATAATCATCAAACTTGAATGCAGTATTAACCTTACCTTCATTCATTCAATTTTCTTCTGAAACAAAATGTTCTAAACAGCTTTTCAAACCTTCCATGGCCTTGTTCTGCCTTCCTCTACAACCTCAGACCTAGCCACACTCAGCTAAGAGTGGCTTGCTTCGTATCCAACACTCGATTCCCCCACATAATCAATGGGGTGAGCTTTCAGTCATTCTGCCCTGCTCTCTGGAGTTCCATCTCAGGGTCCCACTGCCTCACCGCCCCACCTCCCGCCTTTAAAGCCTACCTCGGGTCCTATCTTTTCACTCCATCCTTACTCAGCTCCTCCCCAGGAGGATAAGAGTGAGTGTTAAATTACTTCTATAGTACATGTCACTGCTATGATTGCTTGCCTGAATAGAAAGTCTGGTGTTTCACAGCTGAAGAGATTTATCACAGTTTACGTTAACCAACATATTTGAATATTTATTTCTTCTCTTAAGTTTTTTGTATTTGAAACACAAATAATTTATTAGGAATGCATTATACACATTATTTTAAAAAAAACTTTTTTTATTCTCAGTGGACAACGACTTTTGCCAACAAGTGTGTGTTCCCAACTATGGAACCATGCAGGGTGAACAAGCGGAAACAGCGATTCAAATGGTAAGTCAGTGAACCATTGGAATAGTGCTGCATAGAAACATTAACAAAATGCTCGATTTCAGGGATATATTTTAGTATAGAATTGCTTGTAAACTAGTGCACAGCAGTTCGAAAAATCTGTGTATTTTTATTGATGCTAAACTGTTAAATATTAGGCAGTGACTGTTTCCCTTTACCAATCGACAATTTGCATGTTGTCTCAGTGTGGTAATGTCTGTTCCTAGTTCAATAAACATGAAGAACTCCAATAAGATCACTGCTCAACTTATCAAAGCAAATGTTAAGTTTAACAAGTTTTTAGTAGGTTAAGAAGTATTAACCAGTCTGATAACAGGGCTGCAATTTTCCAATCTACAGAAGGAAAGAGCAGTCTTATCAGAGCTAGTAATACACTTTTCCACCAGCTGAGCAAGTTTATCCTTGGGCTGAGGAAGTCTTTAGTGGGTGAGACATGGTAGAAATATGGAATTAATGTAGAATTAAAAGGGTTTTAGAATAAATTGTAAACGAAATTATGCCCTTGCCACATGGGTAACTTTTGTACCTCCTACTTCATACATTGTTTATGGATGGAGACAAAAGAAAATGACCAGTACAATATTGTATTTACATTTTTGATCGGTAGAGATATCTTCACCGGTATATAGCCATTCATGAGAATGTTCACCTTAATCACGGTTGTATCTTGCCAAAGGTGATCTGCGTGATCTTAAGGGAGTTCTATTTCATCAATATTTATTATCCTAATCTACTAATTCCACACATAACGCTTCAATTAATAGGCAGCACATAATTGTTTTTCACTAATATTTTAATCAAAGGCCTTGTTGAATGTTTCTAACACCTTCCTCCTGGTACCTTTAACAGGGCCCATATTCTAAAGAGTCAACATACTTAGTTGGTGCAAACTCTGGGGTAAGATGGTACTATATGCACATAGTTGACTTTAGTTAACAAACTTAGTTACATATTTGGCCTCTTAGAAGCCTTTTGATAGGAGTTTCTGGGGAACTGCCTAATTGGTTGTGAATCGAGTTACGAGCATTTATTCCAATGCATTATGCAATTGCCAAGAAAGACTGTAGATCTTTGACAAAGCAAAATGCCTTATTCTCTTGTGCAAAACACCTAAGATCACAAATATCTGTCCTAGTAATTGAAACCGGAAGAGCATATAGCTTAGAACTTATAGATCTTATAGGCTTATAGCATAGTTAGATTATTTCTACATTTCAGAATTTATGTAGTTTTGTCTAATTGTGATGGATTACTTCAGTAAAGACTGTATTCTTCTCCTCTCCCGGTATATTTACATCTATGTAATAGCTGTCATACTAACAAAAACTCTTTTTGACATTTCTAGTAGAGGAGATGGTATCTGAATCTTTTTCTCTTTCTGCCTTAAGATACATTTTAAACAAACTCTAGATTTTTTGTTTGATTTGGAATGAGATTTACCTGATATCAGCAGCACATAAAGTAGCAGGTTACACTACTACATTCCGTATTTGGCAAGAACAGGTATATTTTGACTGACATTAATACTCACCATGGGAATAGGGTAAAAAGGGATGAGCAACAAATTTAAGGACAATCTTTTTCCATTCCAGAGTCACTTTCATAAACTTCAGTAACTAATGTTATCAGGAGGAGTTACAGTTGTAATTAGATTCATCCTCCAAGGCTAGGTAAGGAAATTCACCCAGGATGTCAGCTTGTTTTCCATACTGGAAATGCATTGGTATGGATGATGCATGAGAACAGAAGTTGCAAATTATTATTCGCATCAGTAAACAAAGGAAAGTCAACAGTGAAAATGTACTTTGTAATTTACAAGTTTAAGTGAAGTTTGCCATAGATTTGTGGGCTCTAGAGACTGATGATTATTTGTACTACAGGATGGAACTTCTTGATATCACACAGTCGTTTGTAAAACCGCAGTGAAGTTGCCAATTTTGGGTAATATGAAGCTAGTCCCTGTGACCCAAACCTCTACTATTTACAATGCCACATGCTTCAGCACTGAGTGGCTTGGAAACAGAGGTTTGTCAAATTGCATGCCACAAAGGCTTTCAGTTGTATATCATACACCAATGAAAATTCATACTATGTGAGCGTATAAATTGGTAGTCTATATCAAAATCGCAAGTTTCTCACATGTTGGGTTAACTGGGTTCAATTCCCGGCAGGGAGAAAGCTTGGGCAAGTTTCCTTACTCCACACGCCTGATGACAATATCTCTCAAGAAAAAAAACAATAATAAAAAAATTGGTCACTTCATTCCATGACTGTGGGACACTGCTGTATGCAATTGGCTGCTGCGTTTCTCCCAAAATTATACAGTCAATTCACTTTACAATATATTCTGTGAAGCACTTTGAGATGTCCAGAAGACATGAAAAGCGCTATGTCAAATCTTAACTCCAGTATTTTAGGAAAAAAAACAATAATTCTTTCTAGCATTAAAGCTTTCACGGAAGCTTTTATGAGGACTCAGAACACAACAGATTTTGCAGGCATATTAATGTTACTTTACCAAAGAATAAAACTCCAAATACTGCAACAATTTACAAAATTCAAAGTGAGTTGTAAAGCTTTCCATGTGTCATAAAGGAAGATTATCAAGTTATCTCTCAGTTGGAACATTGATAGTTATTTCTGATACAGTCTGCATACTTGGCAATTGCTGTGCATTAGGTAATGGTGTTCTGTGGAATATCTGGGAAAGGTAAGTGAGCTAAATCTTGAACGATTAGAATCAATACTGCATTTTGAAGCAATAAAAGCTGTAAGTAGGACATGACCACTTCACTTATTTAATGATTGATACATAGTGCTTATCAGAAGGTTGTTCAGGAGGATTGAATTACCAGTAAAATGCATTGTTACTCTAGCCGATGGTTTAACCATGTATTTAGCATGGAGAGATGTAAACAATCACTACATCCATGAAATATGATGGCTGCCATATTCTACTCCTCACTGAGGAAATTAATCGAGGCCTTAATTTGGAGAGAATGGGCCTCACTAGTGCAACACTCATTAATCCCATGAGTAATGCTACAGTATAATGCTTATTTGCTCTCAGCCTTACCCGTGTAGCACAATACAGGGCCGGGACACTATCAGGATGCACTGCAGAAACAAAGAAATAGATGGGAAATAATAGAAGATGTATTTCCTGCGTTGATCAAAAACTTTCAGAAGAACACTTAATGTTTTCTACTTAAGTGAATTTACTCAAAACTAGTCAAATCTACTGGTTTGTGACAAATGTATCATTTCAATCCTCAACAATTTCAGAAAAGCTCGCATCTATATCTGTGACGTATTAAGAATATAAATGGAGTGAAGTGATTATGAAACTACGCACAATAAAAGCGCACAAATTGTCATCACTGATTCTCAGATAAGACCAGATAAAATTAGCTTTTCAATTCCAATTTTACTGAGATATGAGGAAGGGTGTATGTGCTCGTGACCAAAACAGAACAACACCCACACTAGAAGAATACCAGTTTGACTTCTTTGGAGATAAGTTGTCATTGTGTTTACACTGAATGGTAGCCATTTTCCAATAAATTCCAAACCAAATAATCTAATTGCAATAAATAACAATTTTAAAACTTTCAGCCCTTAGACGTTCTGAACAAATGGCAGTTTGGGGGACTTTGTAAGCTGTATCTGGCCTTATCTCACCTCATGTGATCTGTACTGTAGTTTTTTCAAAAGTGCAATGTGACTGAAAAGATGATTCATTGTTTAAAGAGGCACAATTATTGCTGCTGAGCTGTACAAGCTGTTACACAGAATAAAATGGCACAGCACCTTCTAATACATTTAACAAACTGATTAAAAGCATACGTGCAGTCATATCTGTCATAAATATTTGTCATTTTAACTACCAGTCTGTGTAACAAATGCTTGAGAGCTGAGGCCTGAGTTTTAGGTGCGAACTACAAATGTAAGTTGATACGGTGTTTTGAAGATGGCTAGTTTCAACAAGTATCTTCTTGATTTGGAATCTGTTACAAGTGTGTAGAGGAATACCTGAATGACGTGGTGATGACCTGAATTCAGATGTCATATAAATGCATTCCAACTGCATGAGTCTCACTAACACCGTGGAAAGTGATGTTTGTATAAAACAATGTATTTTCCTGGAGTATGGGCACCGTGAAGTTAGCACTGTTAAAGGGGCAGTCCTAATCTAGTGCTTCACTAATCATATCTGTCATTACTTTCCTCAAACACACTTGAAAAGGCACCATATCTGGAATCTATATACAGCTTGGGGGTCTTCAAAACAATCAGTTTGGAAATGCATTCAAGTGGACTTTCTTTCAAGTGGGCTTCATGTTCGATCTAAAACTGTGTCAAGTTTTGTTGTACTATGGGTGAGCCCAGGTAAACATCCTTTGTCTCTGTGCAGCAGCAGTATGGATTGTGCCTTTTTAATCTTTTGTGTTCTGTATCGTATGTTCCTGACAATCAATCCAGCACTCCAATTACCTCATTACAAGCCTGTGAAGAAATGTAAACATCCCTTCATGATGGACTTCGCCTTTCCCTGTGATATACTGATAAATTCAGAATTTGTCATTTTAGGTACCATTTTGGGTATTGAAACTGTCATTTTACAGACATAATTCTCCAGGCTTGTAACAACTTCAAATTATAACTGCAAGCAAATCTTTTGTATCCTGCTTAATGCAATTAAACTAGATACAGCAACAGCAATTATTAGCTAGATGGGAATTAGAGCTTTTTTTTCTGATTCTTATTACTGAATAAGAAGTGTTCGTATTAAGTTTATGCATGCTGTTGCAGAGGTGGACTTTGCCGCTTCTGGAAATATTTCTGATATAAAATTTCACTCGGGTCACAGATGAAGTAAAGTGTTATTTGTTTACTGTTCACCACTAACTTGTTTCTAACTGCTCCACAGCTGCTCAATGGGAAGGGTAAAGGACACACAAGCATATGCATGGTATGGCACTAACTGCTAAGACATTAATTCTTTGATATTTTGCTTTCTGCACAGGCTGATACTATTTCAGGTCCTAAGTGATTCAACCATGTCCTTCCATGTTCCAAACAATTCACCCATCAAAAGAAATGAAAATGAATACATTCACTGAAATTGCTTGTGTGAATCTTTTGTAAAGAAAAACATTGAAGGAAGCATGAGCAGGGCAGGCAAAAACACGCAGAGTGAAATGAAAGTTTACCATGAATTGATGAGAACCAGATACAGAATCCAATTCTTGTTCTCTGCCCAGGAAATTTTCTCAATTCGACTTGTCCCTAGCTCTCACTTCCCTTCAGCTGCTTCAGAATCAGCCTGGCTGTCATTCCCTCTCAGTCTTTGGTCCTGCTCATAAAAAAAATCCCGGGATAGGACTTGTAACATCCTGGATTTCACAGTCAAAATCAATGAAAAGTAAATAATATACTAACACTGAGGTAAGTGTTCTCAGGCTTCTGGCTGTTTTCCTAGCTCTAACAAGTGGCTTAGATTGACTTATTCTCCAAGTTTCTGTCCTTACCTCTGGAGTAGCGTGACACCGCTACTCAAACCCATTGCCAAATGCCTAGACTGATCTCTGATTCTCACTGTGTAGAGAAGACTAGCCACAAGCTTCACAGCATGATGTGCTAGTTTATTAATATGCATCTTCTGTTCAATGATTTTTAAAACATTAAACCTTAACATTTTGTTTGTTAGTGAAGCATTCCTTGATCAATAGGCTCCTGGATGCTGATAATGTATTGTCATAGCTATTTGGATGAAAACCATTTTGAGCACTGGGAACTGTGACTTAGATCAACAGTGCAAAAACAGTGCAAAATTACTTATTAGCAGAGCGATCATTTTGTGTTGTTTAGTTTTTTTTCCACAAACATCTGTTTATGGGACACTGCTGTGCGCAATTGGCTGCCATGTTTTGCCCACAATATATAAGGTCGATTCACTTTACAGTATATTCTGTGAAGTGCTTTGAGACGTCTCAACAATTTGATAAGGTGCTGTATCAAATGCAAGGATTCTGCTTATTATTATTATTTGGAGCACATACCAATAGCAACATCCCAGGTAGGTTGAAAACTGAACAAAGGACTAGAAGGTTCTTGAATTACATCCTGAAAGGCTGACTCAGTCCTCTACCTTGTAAAATAAACAAAATATCTAAAATTGATCCTGGGTTAATAAGTGGAGTATATTTAGATTTAAAAAGCCTGTCAGGGTCATTTATAAAGTGAGGATATTTCTCAACGCTGCAAGCCAGATGGTTAGGGGGAGATCGATCCTGGCGAGAGCTTTGAAATTTACATATGCTTAGTTTTATTCGTGATAAATCCTTACTGATGTAACACTTGCTGTGGCTGTTGTGTCTTACACATCAACACGCGTTTATACCAGGAGTGGAAAATGACACACAAAATATTGTGAGATTCCTCGTTAACTTGGGGTGTGTAACTAAATATTATGCTCTTTTAAATCCCCCTCCCCCATCCCAAAATTAACTAAGTGATTGAGCCTATTTCATGAGGTGTACTCTGTAGTAAATTTATGTTTGTATATGGTTTTGGCAGAGCAAAAAAGGAATACTTCTTCAGTCTACATTTTGTTTGAGGAGCTTTCTCAAGAATTGTATGAATCTGCTTAACTTTTTCTCCCTTCAACTATTAATGTCACAGTCAATGATAATATAATTTACAAGGATTATTTAAATATTTTCTTCTGGGCATGAGCATAGACACATCAATGTGTGGAAATGTTCACAACTGGCATCTGCGGTTAGGCCTGTAACAACAAGTAATGTTAAAGAGAGATTAGTGTTGAAGTTCTGAGCGGTGCTCTCAAACATTTCTTGGTTTATGCAAATAATCCCTCAAATTCTACATTAATGTTATGAGTTCAGCATACTCTTAATAGCAAATTTTTAAAGCATTTCCCCAGGTTTTTTGGTATTAAATCCCCCCCCCCCCCAGGTTTTCCCATTTCTTTTACAGAAAAATAAATCCAGCAAAATGCACAGGTTTTTATTTTGTGAATAATAATGACTTTAACAGTATCTATAAGAGTGTTTTTGAATGGGATTGACTATGCTGAAGAGTGTAGGTAAGAACTTTTTCAGAAAGTGAAACCAACGAACAAATAGCACAGTGATCCAGATGAAATGTTATAAACATTAGATTATTTACCCGAGACCATATGTTGTGCAACACAAGATCTCCAGATATTCTTCACTGTGTGTCACTGCTGTTGTAGCATGCCCAGATTAGTCAATTACTGGATGTTTGTGGTGATCTGGGGCCCTCAACTCCCTTCCTTAAAACAAGAAAATGAAATGCAACACAAACGTGCTTTTCCCCTTAAATTAAAATAATAATAAGAATAATGATAAATTAAAATTAAGAGTAATGCCATTTTATTAACTTCAATAACAAACATGAAAATAGTCAATACATAATCTACCCTTTACAACATTTCATCCAAATCACTGTGTTATTTGTTCGTTGGTTTCACCTTCTGAAAAATTTACATTGGTGACATGTAACATTCAAATATAATGGCATAATAATAATGAAAGCTTTGTTTGAAACTCCAAACATTGTTTGTCAATCCAAGAGAGCTCAGAGGTCAGAATGGAATAATCAGTAGCAGACATTTCATTGACTGTAGAATAATACATAAATGAGTTGCATGGTAACAATGAATCAAATGATTCCAGCAATGACAGGTCATGGCAAATGCAAATGATCAGAAGCCTAAAATTCAGTTACTGCTCCATTCTTTCAGTGGTTCTTGGTGGCTTCTGACATCAAGCTTTACTGAATGTTAGATGATCAACTTCTGTGTTCTCAGAATATGTTACTTGGAGCCATTTGATATCAAAGTGGAGAATGTTCCGTACATTAGAATGGAGTAATTTATTTAGGTCCAGGGTGGTTCAACTGGTGGCTTGCAACCTACCTGGGAACCTACCAATGATTGCCTGTGAACCCAGTAGCCATGGCCTGTGAACCCAGTGCCATGGCTCCATACCTATGTACCCACCCCCCAATGCCAGGGCTACCAATTAACAGCCCTCAATCTCTGTATCCAGGTGCCTGATTTCAGTATCTACGACCCGACTTCCCCCGCTCCCACCCCCCCACCCGGCCAGGCTACTGAGACACTTGGCCGAGTGGCACCCATCCAGGTCCTAGAGCCCACCTCGTACAACAATAACAACAACAACACGATTCCATTTATAGAGCGCCTTTCACGTCAGGAGGACGTCCCAAGGCGCTGCACAGTTGGGTCATGACCCGAGCAGGGGGGAAATGGTCAGGGTGAGGGGAGGGAAGGGAGGGAGCGAGGAGGGGGGAAATGGTCAGGGTGAGGGGAGGGAAGGGAGGGAGCGAGGAGGAGGAAGAGAGTCGAGAGGGGAGCTGAAGGCACAGTCAAAGAGAAACTCTGTGCCTTGCAATTCCATAGACTTCATAGGTTGAGCTGATCGTCTGTGTTTTGATTCTAATACATAAAAATTAACTTGATATATATGTTGATTTCACTTGAGATGTTAATCATTTTGTTCACTGTTAGGGCTACTGAACTATGTTTCTTTCACTTTCATTGTTTCTCTGGATTTAATTATTTTTCTTGCATATATGTACTTTATTGATAAAAGTGTATTATTGTTTTGAAATTTGTATGAATTTTTACATTGCCTATTTAAAGTTTGCATTATAACTAAAATATAGTGAAATTAAGTAATACAGTTGCACAATTGAAACTGGATTTCTGTATGATTCTTACGGATTTAATAATAATAATAATAATCCTTGCATTTGGTATAGCGCTTTTCACGTCGGGAGGACGTCCCAAAGCGCTTCACAGAACACACTGTAAAGTGAATTGACTGTATATTTGTGGGCGAACGCGGCAGCCAATTGCGCACAGCAATGTACCACAAACAGTCGTAGATTGAAAATGACCAATTTAATTATTGTTTTTGGTTTTTGGAGGGATTATTATTAGGCGTGTAGAGTAAGGAAACTTGCCCAAGATTTCACCCTGCCTGGAATTGAACTCAGGTCTCTCACTTGCAAAGCAAGTGCTCTAACCACTGAGCTACAGGACTGAAAGAGAAACACAAAAATACTGCTTATGGTGCTCGCGTCATTTCTCAAATCTGGCATCCGGTCCTCAGTAGCCAACAAATTGGACCACCCAATTTTAGGTAAAAATAAAATAAATATTCCCAGGTGGGGCGAAACCTTAGACAAGTTTGCTTACTCCACATGCCTCTGTTTACCTAGCGGTACGTAGGAACCCGGTTGTTAAGTCAATTGGAGGATCACTTTCCAGGGATAATAATCCCTCCAAATCAAAAAAAAATGGTCACTCAATCCACAACGGTTTGTGGGACACTGCTGTGCGCAATGGGTTGTTGCATTTCACAGTCAATCCACTTTACAATATATTCTGTGAAGCTCTTTGAGACGTCTCAACGATGTGATAAAGCGTTATATCAAACGCAAGGATTATTATTATATTCTTCTCTCAACATAATCAATAAATCTGCAGCGTGAGATCAAATACCTTGCTCTCCATGTAGTATGTTGGCTGGGACATGGGCTATATAACAGAAAGTGCTCTGTGCAGATGACCTATGTGTGGGTGGGGGGATGGGTTGAGAGGGATTAGAGTCCACAATGTGTGAATGGGAAACACTTGATATCTTTCCCTCCTCCTTCCCTTGCCTTTGTCACCTCAAGGCTGGACTATGGGAACTCTCTCCTCGCCGGCCTTCCCGCCACCTCCCTCCACAAGCTGCAGGTCATTCAGAACTCTGCAGCTCGTGTACTGTCCCGCACCAGGCTTCGCGATCACATCACTCCCACCCTCGCTCGCCTCCACTGGCTCCCCATCTCCCAGAGGATTGATTTCAAGATCCTCATCCTCACCTACAAGGCCATTCACGGCCTTGCTCCCTCCTACCTCTCCAACCTACTATCCCCCTACCTACCTGCCCGTACCCTCCGTTCCTCTGGCTCCGGTCTGCTCCACGTCCCCCGCCCCAACCGCCCTACTATCGGTGGTCGGGCCTTCAGCCTCTCAGCCCCCAGGCTCTGGAACTCCATCCCCCAGTGCCTTCGCCTTGCTTCCTCCCTTTCCTCCTTCAAGGCCGGTCTCAAAACCTTTCTCTTTGACCGTGCCTTCAGCTCCCCTCTCGACTCTCTTCCTCCTCCTCGCTCCCTCCCTTCCCTCCCCTCACCCTGACCATTTCCCCCCTCCTCTCTCCTCCCTTCCCTCCCCTCACCCTGACCATTTCCCCCCTGCTCGGGTCATGACCCAACTGTGCAGCGCCTTGGGACGTCCTCCTGACGTGAAAGGCGCTCTATAAATGGAATCTTGTTGTTGTTGTTGTTGTTGTTGCTGGGTGGAGGAGAGGTGCTGCACGACTCTGAGAGAAGGCTATGAGAATTGGTGTTGGAGGATTTGTCTCGTGCATTACTTTCATAGAGAAGCAGACGGACATTAAATTCTGTGCCTGAAAGATTCTGCACTCTGTCCAACCCAGGTCGAGTTTGATGGGAATGAAGACTCGGTGCATTTTGCCGATGGTGAACGTCGAATTGACTTTGTATTGGCCTATGAAGAAGAAGCGGCGAAACCGGGAGACAGGAAAAAGATCGCACAATTGCTGAGTAGAAAGGTACAATTCCTGCTCCTACTGCTTTGTGCTTGTCTTCAGAATTTAGATACAATGGGTTGTTCTCACTATTGAAGTTTAGAGTATATAGAACCAAGTCATTCTTTATACATAAATATTTGTATATTTCCCAATTGTCTTTTACATTTTGACACTTTATATTTTAAAGTTGCTTCTCTTCCCCTTCTTTAGACCTTATGTTTACATAATAACATAGGAACAGAAGTAGGCCATTCCTTTCTTGGTGTTACTTCTATAGCTGTTAAAAGATATTCAAGTCAAAATGTGTGACTAATTATCTTATTTTCCTTATTCCCCATTGGAATATACAGGGTGACCAAAAAGTCGTGATACCATTACAATGTCAACAACAACAACTTGCCCTTACATAGCGCCCTCCACGCAGGGTAACACTTCAGAGTGCTCGAGAGTGGCGGAGCATGACTCCAAGCCGGGGGGAGGGGAAGGTGACCATAGACACGGTCGAACAGGAGGGTCTTCAGGAACAACCTGAAAATGGGGAAGGAAGGGGCGAGGCATAGAAAAAGGATGTTCCAGAGTTTCGGGGCACTAATAAGTTTTAAAGAAATGAAGATTTTTTTTAGATAATAGGGTAGATATCACAACTTTTGGTTGTGCTCTGTAGGAGAGGAAATGCAGGGCTGACATAGTTTCCATAGGAAAATTCATGAAGTTTCTTGGTTCACTTTCAATCAGTGAGCTGGAAAACCTGACATAACTCTTAGCACCTTTTTTACCTGTTACAGACCAGAGACACATTCACTAATCTGGGTGCTGTCAGATGGCAGAAGTTGCTCGACAGCCACTTATCTCCTGGTTTTGAACACGTTTTTCCATGTCTGAGAATAATCATGAACATGTCAATTTGTTGAGTAACTGTCTTTCAGAAACTGGAAAACACAGTTCATTCTGAATTACTTTTGAAGACTCCCATTATTTTTGATTACTTATTTACAACAGAATTTGATTAGTTCTGTAATCTTACAATGTAATCTTTTCTAGATTGTAGTATTTCAGAATAATGTTAGTTTCTTTATATTCCTTCAATCGTGTTTTGTCTAATCAGAACGGTGCAAAGGGATTATGCATTGCCTCAATTACCAAACTCAAGTGTGAACGAGAAAGCTTTGGATGCTATCAGATCCAGGTTGTAGTCCAACAAAAGTAACAAAATTAGGACAGAAATAGGATTTATCACATCTTAGCCATCTTATTAGTTAATGCAACTAGGATTGTGACAGTGGAAACCAAACTTAAAATGTTTCAACATCGGTGTCCTCGAAGCAGAATCCTCCCTCTATTCTAAGACCGTGGGGGAAGAATAACCCCTGAAGACCAAGTTCTGAATATAAATGAAATGATATAACCTTTTCTTTTCAAATGAGAGCTTCTTACACATTTCTTACATTTCCATGTTTTGGTGTGCAGAGAAAAAGAAACGTGTTTCAAGCCAATTTAATACAGAAAGGAATACAGATTGAAGCCACAAGATCCGTAAGTATGCCATTTGGATATCATACATGAATATTCATAGTCAACCCTTCAATGCGCTTCAGTTTTCATCTGGCACAGTTGGTAACATTTTCGCCTCTTGAGTCAGAAGTTTGTGGGTTCAAGCCACACTTCGGGTCTTGAACTCACATAAGTCTAGGCTGACACTACAATCCAGTACTGAGGTGTGTTGCATTGTCTTTCGGATGAGATGTTATTCCAGAGCCCTGTCTGTTTGTTGAGGAAGATTTTAAAGATCCCGTGGCATGACTAATAATAATAATAATAATAATCCTTGCATTTGATATAGCGCTTTTCACGTCGGAAGGACGTCCCAAAGCGCTTCACAGAACACACTGTAAAGTGAATTGACTGTATAATTGTGGGCGAACGCGGCAGCCAATTGCGCACAGCAATGTCCCACAAACAGTCGTAGATTGAAAATGACCAATTTATTATTGTTTTTGGTTTTGGAGGGATTATTATTAGGCGTATGGAGTAAGGAAACTTGCCCAAGGTTTCGCCCTCTGCCTGGAATTGAACTCAGGTTTCTCACTTGCAAAGCGAGTGCTCTAACCACTGAGCTACAGGACTAGAAAACAGAAGGGAATTTCTCTTGGAGTCCTGACCAACAAACCCCCTAATAAAATTAATAATTCATGGCTGTTTATGGAACATTGCTGCATGCAAAATGGCTGCCATGTTCACCTACAAATACACAGTCACTCCATTTCACAGTAATTCTTGTGAAATTACTGAAAGTGTCTTCCAGATATGAAAGGCACTATGCCAAATGCAAAGGGTTAGGATTAGTTCTCAGAGAACTGTGTGCCTGAGGCATATTTCACACAATGACTTATAAATGTTAATGATTTCATAATGTTTTTAGAAAATCTCTGAAAATACTCCATAAATCTCTAAAAATGTTTTCACATTCTTTTAGGTTTTGAATCCAAAGCTTATTTTTCTCAAACTTCACGCACCATGGGAAGTTCTTTGCACTTATGCTGAAGTAATGCACATCAAACTTCCTCTGCATTCCAATGACTTGAAGCAAAAGGCCTCCAGATTTAACTGCATTACTAAACTATTCTCAGTGGATGAAACCAAAATCGAGCCAGAACCTGAATATTTCACCGCACCATTTGAGATGGATAAAATTCACAGTTTCCACATTGCTGATAAGAATTCGTTTTTCACACCAGCCACCAGAAGCAGAATCGTAAGTAAATGCAAATTAGGATACTTCTATTCTAAACAAAGTCTTAACTGTTCTACACTTCACATGACAGATTAGTATTTCTAGCATGATGTAATGACATCCAGATTCTAACCACAACTTACAAATTCCTTGAATTGTCTGGGGATGCATTGGGGTCAATCATATGGCATTTGCTAAAATGGAAATCTTTTCAATACTTGTTTATATACTTGTTTAAACCCTATTGAGCAGAAAAACTGTGATACTGTGCAGGGATTGATTGAGTAATCATCTGTGTTGGCTTCTCTAAGGTTATGTACATTCTGAATCGCTGTGAATATAGAAAATCAAATCAGACACGTAAGTTTGGTATAACCAAATTGCTCGACTCAAACACATACAAAGGAGCTTATCCTCTTCATGACGTAAGTTACTCTAAATAACTTTTATTAGGACTTTTAATATTTTAGGAATATTTGTTTCTGTTCTACTGTTGCTCATTCTTTCCTAGAATCACAAGATTGTGGAATTCATTATCTCCCTCAGCCTTCCTGGACCTCTCCGCTGCATTTGACACAGTCAACCTTGCCATTCTTTGTCACCGCCTCACCTCCCTCATCCACCTTAGTAGAATCGAACTTGCCTGGTTTGAGTCCTATTTAAACAATCACTATCACTTTGTCTCTGCTAACATTTTTTCCTCTTGCACCCTCGCAGTCACCTGTAGAGTATCCCAAGGCTCCATCCTCTGCCCTCTTCTGTTCCTTATTTATATGCTCCCTCTTGGTGATGTCATCTGCATACACAAGGTCAACTTTCTCATTCTCCATCTGCCACTCCAGGTCCACTGATGCTCTGTCAGCTTTTCAGACATCAAGGCCTGGATGAGCGCAAACTTTTTGCAGTTGAATGTTGACAGGACAGAAGCCATACTTCTTGGCTACCGTTAATGTCTTTTCTCCTGCGACTCTGATCTCCTCAATCCCCCGGCTTATCCCTAAAATATACCAAACCCATATATAACCTTGGCATTCAATCCCTAGCTGTCCTTCCTACCCCACACCCGGTTTCTGATCAGGAACCCTCTCCTCTACATCCGTCACATTGCACGCCTCTGACTGTATCTCATACCCAATGCAGCTGAAACCCTTATCCACGCTTTCATCATCTCGTGCCTCGATTATTCCAGTGCCCTCCTCACCAGCCTCCCCAGCTCCAATATCCACAGAATCCAATCTCGTATACTTGCTTGCACTGAACTCTGTAACCCCAATACACCAATCCTGGCCAGGCTCCACTGGCTCCCTATCATGGAACAGATTGACTTTAAGATCCTCACTACCCACTCCACCACCCACCGTCTCCATTCAGCTGTCTCCAGCCTCCTGCACCTCTCTTCCCTCAACTCCACCATTGCCTGTCATGCTAACCCAATACCCGAAACTTTGAAACTCTCCCCCTCAATCCCTTTGCCTTGAGACCTGCTTCCCCGTTTAGATCATGCCTGAAGACCTTCTTCGACCATGCCTCCAGTCACCTCCGTCCCCCCACCGCTCAATGCCAGGCTGTTAAGCGCTCTGAGACACTACCCTGCATGAAGGGTGCTATATAAATACAAGTTGCTTTCCCTTACCTCATACAATGTATAATCTTTTAAAAGCGCAACATCCTAGCCACTTTTGGATTTTTCTTCTGCTTATCTTATCAGCTTTCTGTCATTCTAGACTATGGGTTTTTTCCTTTCACCTGAATTTTCAGTGAAACAAATTAGATAAGTCTATGAACTTAGATTACTTAAGTATGGATTCCATTGACAAAATGTCATGCTCACTTTTCTTTTTCAGTGCAAACACAACCTGAAATCAGTTGACCCATCATGTCCAAATGAACGATACCTTCTGTACAAGGAATGGGCTAATCCCATGAGTTTTTACAAATTGCAGCCCTTAGATCTTGTCAGGTATTCCAAAGTTTTTATATTAATTGCTTGAATAGTGCATTACAAAGAGGAACTGGGCTGAAACTGCCATCTCAGTTGTACTTAGAACTGAAAAGACAAAATAATGTAGATGTTGGAAGTCTGAAATAAAATAGAAGTCGCTGGGAACACTCAACAGGTCAGGCAGCATCTATGGAGATAGTTAATGTTTCAGGTCGATGACCCATTAAAACACATTGGTATGCATCCATAAACTCAGACTCAGCATTGCAATAAAGGGCGTTAAAAATGGCTGAAAATCATCAAGATTATTTCTGACATTACTTGCTGTGTATTGTGCATGTGTCCGCTCTGCACACGAAACACCACTGATGTTACTTTTTTGGCAAAGTGATGTGAGTTGCATTTCCAATGCATAGTGCCTTCTGAGCTATGTATAGGAAGTCGGCCAAGTCATGTCCGAAAGCTGGAAATGTACCAAATTTCTGGTATAGCGCAGGTCCACAATACAAGCACGGGTCCATAATACACTCACACTTGTACATCGAGCAAGCTGGCAGTAAACCAGGGTGTATTGTAACAGGATCAGCCGAAACATTATTGCTGAGAAAATAAATGAATTACTGTGTATAAAGAATGATGTTCTCTGTTGCTCATTCACTTTACTAGTAAAATAACTGAATTGTTCCTTTTAAAGCATAACTCCGAGCATTTCAAGTTATAGTTCAGCAAAGAAAGTCCAAACTTGAACTTTTTTGATCAGTTGGGGCTTTTACATATGTGGAAACTGACGCCATCCTTGTGAGAATCCAAACCAGATTAAGAGTGTGCACTGGAGATTCAACATTAGGGTGATATTATTAATTGATGCAACTATGTGGCTGGTAAAGTACTGTGGAGCTTACACTGTGTTCAACAAATATTTAAATTTATTAAATTAGAAAGAAAAATAAACTACACAATATTTAAGAATATTAAAAGCAGCCTTTCAAGTCTCATTTATTTCAGAGATAAAATGAACCTAGTTCTGTCCATATCCATGGGCACAAAGTAACACAATACTAGTCTCATCAGTTACATTGTTGACACTGGCCTGGCCTTGGCAAATGTGATATGAGATAATTCGACTGCATGGTCCTGCAGGTTCAGAAATATAAATACTTTCTACCAATTAAGAATTACAGCTGGAAAGGTTATGGATGTTATATTTATGTACATCCAATTCAACAAGGTCTACCAAGATCAGCATTTTTTTAGTTGTTTAGCTATTTAGCTCATATGTCATATGTAATATTGTGAATGGAGCTTTTTTTTTATTGAGGATGTAGTTGAAAGGCTGAGGTCTATTGAACAATGCATCGCCAGGGATAAAAACATGGGAAATCTTATCTAGAATTGATAGAATAGCACTCACATTCCAGTAACATAGAATGAGTGTTTAATGGGTGATACCAGTATCAGAGGTATAAAAAGGATCCAAGTTTAAGCATCTTGACAGAATAATTCAATTTGAAATATTGTATTCACAAAATTAATATAATACATCAGGATCTAAAATTATTAGCAGTTTAATTACAACTAATTCTAAATCTCTTAATTTTGTGCACATGTTACTTTAAGTGTGTTTACTTGGAAATTAATCTGATCTTTAAAAGCTCTTATCCTGCTCCATAGGAAGTATTTTGGAGAAAAGATTGGAATCTATTTTGCTTGGCTCGGTTTCTACACAGGAATGCTGGCCGTTGCAGGAATTGTCGGACTTGCGTGTTTCATTTTTGGAATAATCACTCGGGAAGACAGCACTTGGAGGTTTGTCGAGAACTGAAAAAGCAGCTCAGATTCAGTCATATTACACAAGAGTCAACAGCACTAAAATGGTGATACTGTGGGCCTTCCTTTTAACGGGGTCTAATTTACAGGATTCATAGAGGATTTGAAAATATTGTTGAAATTCGTAGTTCTTACTTTACAAGATAATGATGAGAAAGGTATTTCCCTTAGTGTAGTAACTGATCAAGTGTTTATTTTAAACTATACATAAGTGAAAATAGAATTTCTTGGCTTGGAGCATTACAGTATTGACTGCAATCCCTGACTTTTGAAACCTTTAGGACTTGTATGGTGCATGAATATTTTTCAGCACTTTACGTAATGCCTGCAAGTACAATCTGACATAAATACGGTAAACTCCTCATAATTTGACCCTGACTTAACTTGTCATTATCATTTAAGTCATCTTGCTGTCAATATCTGGCTGAATTTATTTATGCATTTACACATAGTAGAGTCCTGTAGCTTAGTGATTAGAGCACTTGCCTTGCAAGCAAGGTACCTGGGTTCGATTCTCGGCAGGGCAAAACGTTGGGCAAATTTCTTTACTCCACACGCCTCTGATTACCTAGCAGTAAGTAGGAATCTAGTTGTTAGTCAATTGTTGAATCGCTTTTCTGGACGTAATAATTCCTTCAAAAAAATAACAATATATTCTGTGAAGTGCTTTGAGACGTCTTGAAGATGTGATAAGGTGCTAAATCAAATGCAAGTATTATTATTACTATTATTATTAGATGCCTAATTTGCCACTCCAGATAACTTGTCACTGAGCCATTTTCCCTTGGAGTGACAAGTTATCAAGCGTTTACTGTGTATAGATTTTGCATGACCAAGTTTCACATTGTTAAGTCCTATTGAGTGAGAATGTATGGAAAAGTGTTGTACCCTGTTTTAACCAATGGATGATTTGATATTGTGATTATTCAGTGGATGTTTGCTTTCTGTTTTAAAGTCAGGAGGTGTGTGATTCTGCCATTGGAGGCAGTATCATCATGTGTCCTCAATGTGATAAAGAGTGTACTTACTGGAAACTCAACATCACATGTAATTCATCAAGGGTATGTACTTTCTTAGCAAGTTGTGTATGGAACAAAGCAAGGTGCAAAACAATCAAAGAACTATATTTAGCTTATTGTTGCAGACAGGTTCAAATTATGTTAAAAATGTTTTACAGAAATTAGCCATTTTTGACAACTATGGAACCTTAGTGTATGCAGTGTTCATGGGAATTTGGGGTAAGTCATTGCAGCTGTTATTCTGTTTGACGTAAAAACATTTGTTTAACAATTGTAAAGCAAAAGCTCCAGTGATACTGAAGTTAAATAATCTGATAACCATCGCACCTGAAGACCTTCCCCTTCGACCACGCCTACGGTCCCTTTCTCCCCGGTTCGGTGTCAGGCTCCACCACTGTTAAGCGCTCTCCGATGCTGCCCCACATGAAGGATGCAATATAAGTGCAAGTTGTTGTTACAACAGCAAAGCCAGAGTTATCATGGCATCAGCTGACTGCTGTTTCATTATGGAATATTTCAGTATTTGTGACACTGATTTTTTTCAATTTATAGACCGGTAACAACAATAAATTGCATGTATTACAGTACCTTTTATGTTGAGAAGATGTCTCTCACACAGTTGACTTGGAATGCAAGCTGGCAGGGGGTGGTGATGGGGGGGAGAAAGTAGCCAAAAGGATAATCAATAAGATAGGTCTTAAAGTGGATTTTGAAGGTGGGAGGGAAGTTGGAGAGAGTCTGGGATGGATTTTCAGAGAGAGTGGAAAGAATGGCATAAAACCCACTCATCAGCAGTGGGACAGATTGAGCAGGATACATGAATAATCCAGTGTTTGTTCAGCAAAGTGTTCACTTTAAGATTTTCCCACGCATACGCATGCATTAATTGACTTGATCGTCCTTTAACTATTATGTTTATACTGAGGCTGATTGCATTGATTGCAGTTAACACTAAATGTTACTTTGCAGTGACTGTGTTTTTGGAGTTTTGGAAACGGCGTCAGGCAGAACTGGAGTATGAGTGGGACACTGTGGAATTCTTAAATCAGGAAGAACAACAACGACCAGAGTATGAAGCAAGATGCAATATTCTCAAGAAGAATCCAGTCACACAGGTAAGATAACCTATTCAATAAACTCATGAGGACTTTTTCCAGAGTGGTAGGACTCAATCTGATGCAACGTTACTTAACTAAGTTATGATTCTGTCCTCCTTAACAATGCACTCATTGCCAAAAGTGACTGTTAGCATTGAATCTTAACAATTACAACTATCCTTTGTTTCTAGGAAGAAGAATTAGTACCTTACTCAGACTGTGGGAAATGTATGCGAGTATTCTGTGTTGGGTCCACAGTCCTTTTCTGGGTAAGACACCTGGGCTTGTTCTCAGTTCTCCATGGCCTTGCTTTAGAAGGACATTTCTGTGATTGTTGGTGCTTGGTGAGGTGAAAATGATTTTCGAAACATGATAACCTCCTTTGCTGATTATGCATTGCAACTAGACTTTTTTTTAAAAAGCATAGTAGTTTTCTTGGAAGAAGGTAAAGACACAGATATAAAATGTATTGCTACCCTCTACTGTTTTTTTTCTGGAGCTTTAGTAGTTGTACTGACTATTATTACTCATTTACGGTGAACGGGCAGTGACATTTCAATTAAGTATAATGCTTTCCAGTAATAATAATAATAATAATAATAATCCTTGCATTTGATATATCGCTTTTCACGTCAGGAGGACGTCCCAAAGCGCTTCACAGAACACACTGTAAAGTGAATTGACTGTATATTTGTGGGTGAATGCGGCAGCCAATTGCGCACAGCAATGTCCCACAAACAATCGTAGATTGAAAATGACCAATTTAATTATTGTTTTTAGTTTTGGAGGGATTATTATTAAGTAAGCTAGTAATCTTTCCCAAACTCAGTTTCTGCCATATAATTAAATATTGCTACAGCACAGAAAAAGGCTACTTGACCCATATGTATTTTTTTTCTTTTAATTTCATTCATTGTTTGTGTCACAGATAAGCTTAACTTCCTGCTTGCTGGATTTCCCAACTCTTCTCTCCACAAGCTGCAGATTATTCAGAACTCTACAGCTCATGTCCTTTCCTGCATTAGGCTCCGCGAACCAGTCGTACCCATTCTTGCCCAGCTTCACTGGCTTCCCATCCCTCAAGAGAATCGAGTACAAAACCCTCGTTCTCACCTTCGAAGCCCTTCACCGTCTTGCTTCCCCCTATCTCTCCAACCTCCTAACCCCATATCAGCCTGTCCGTTCCCTCTACTCAGTGAACATCGGTCTGCTTCAGGTCCCCCACACTTCCCACCCCAACATTGGGCATTCAACATCTTTGCCTCAACATTCTGGAGCTCTATCCCGCAATCTCTCCTCCTCACCTCCTTTCTTGCCTCCTTCAAGTCCTGTCTAAAAACCTTCCTTTTCGACTATGCCTTTGGCCCTCCTGTCCTCCACCCCTCCTGACCCCAACTCCCAGCTCGGGTCCAAAAATCCCTGACTGTCCAGCGCCCTGAGACATCTTTCTGACGTGAAGGGCATTATACAAGTGTAATTTGTTGTTGGCAAGAAAAATACATCCAGATTTAAACAGTTTTGCTAAAGTGTATGTCTATTTGTTTAATTAGAGTTTGGGTGTTTTTCTTTATATTTCATTAAATAGTTCAATGGTTTCTATCGATGGTCTTTCAGATCTCATTAATCATTGCCTCGGTGGTTGGCATTATTGTCTATCGTTTGGCTGTCTTTTTTGTGTTCTCTGCTAACCTGCCCAAAGAGGTGGATGAAGACCTGGAACCCTTCAAAGATTACTTGACTCCCCAGATGGCTACTTCAGTCACAGCCTCCCTCATTAACTTTGTGATCATTATGATTCTGAATCTAGTGTACGAAAGGGTAGCAATATGGATCACTGACTTTGGTAAGTTCATCTCTTGAGGTCACAATTTTAAAATATGAAACTTTTTAAAAATAAAACTCTATGAATTAAACCATTCTTTGATCATCAAGACTTAGCAATCTAAAATGGCTTTGTATTGAATGACTTTGAATAACCCCAATAACATACCATTTTGAGTGGCGATGCATATCACACTGGTAATATGTGCTGTAAGTGAAAAATCATTTGTGTGCTGACAATTCTATAAGGAGTGGCTAATCAAGTTACTTTTTATCATTCAGAACTTCCCAGAACACAGACGGAGTATGAAAACAGTTTGACCATGAAGATGTTTCTCTTCCAGTTTGTCAACTACTACTCCTCCTGTTTCTATATTGCTTTCTTTAAAGGCAAAGTTGTAGGCTATCCTGGAAAGCCGGTTTACTGGCTTGGGCGATTCAGAAATGAGGAGGTAATAAAAATCATTAATACAGAAAGCTTTTTAGAATTTGCTGCCAAGACATTTTATTATTGGCCTCCCTCCACAGGCTGCAGATAATCCAGAACTCTGCAGCCCATGTCCTCTCCCGCATCAAACTCCGTGACCCCATCTCCGCCATTCTCGCCCAACTCCATTGGCTCCCTATCCTTCAGAGGATCCAGTTCCTCACATACAAAGCCCTCCATGGCCTTACCCCACCCTACCTCTGCGACCTCCTAACCCCCACCAACCCGCCCACTCCCTCCGCTCAGCCGGCTCCAGCCTGCTCCCTGACCCACCCGTCCCACCATTGGCAGGAGAGCCTTCAGCCACTCTACCTCCAACCTCTGGAATTCCATCCCTCAATCACTCTGCCTCGCCCCCTCCTTAGCCTCCTTCAAGTCCCACCTCAAGACCCTCCTCTTCGACCATGCCATTGGCCAACTCCCTTCCCCTCCCTTCTCCTCCCCTGACCCCAGCTCGGGTCTGAAATGCTTTTCACTGTCCACAACCTTGGGACGTCCTCCCGACGTGAAAGGCACTATACAAATGTAATTTTGTTGTTGTGTATGCTGCAACATGATTTTCATTTAATGTTCATCTTCCATCTGATTGCAACAATTTAGTTTGCTATCTGCTTGCTTACAAAGAGCTGCTAATGCCCAATTTTTACATCAATGTAGTGAACAGGTCAGTCCAAAATATCTATTTCCAAAAATTATTAAGTATGAAATATTTGTGTTTGTCAGTATTCAAAACCTACGTCAACTTTGAACAATTTCAGAATTCAGAAGAATTGGTAATTTGCGAACAGATTTAACCAGCAACCAATTCTTAATTTAAAATGTGTAGCGGTGGATTAATTTTCTTTTCTTTTAGCAAAACATTATCTTAATTTATTACAGTTTAAAATAGAATTTTATCAAAAAGAAATTCATGTAGGATTTCCTGCTGTTAATTATTTTCTTCCTAGACCTGTTCTTTAAGACGTCTCCCACCATGTATCATTCAGTGGTTAGACATTGTCAAATATTTGCTAAAGTTTGCTGTCTAAAATTTATAGTGTGACCCAAGTGGCTGCCTTTCAGAACTGTCCACCCAGCTGATGATTGTGATGGGAGGAAAAGCAATCTGGAACAACATTCAGGAAGTTCTTATTCCGTAAGTCAATACCTTTATGGGTTTAACTTCCATAACTGCGAAACAAATTCCAACACAACATTTCCTCATGGAGCTTTGCCTTCACGCTCTCAAAAATCTTCCGCGTAGATATCACCAGCATCTGAACTATGTTTCATCGGTTTATCTGAGAATACTAAAAAAAAATGGATCTTTGGACTTCCTTGACCATCTCTTGATACCAGGCGAATGGAGGTTATGGAAGTTCTTCCCTATTTTGCTTGTCCCACTTATTTACTTCTTGAAGGAATTGTAGTAGCTTTGTGCTTGTAAATGGCTATTTTTTCCTGTCAACAATGAACCTTACTTGCAATAAAATCCAGATTTACATTCATTTGAAGCTGGAACCTGGGACTGATATTCTGATAGCCCATCCTTGTTGTTTTCACAGGTGGTTAAAGAACCTTATTGGTCGTTACTTTAACAAAGCTTCAAAAAAAGAGCTGCCTCGCTGGGAGCAAGACTATCAGCTGCAGCCTATTGGAAAGTTGGGCCTATTTTATGAATATCTTGAAATGGGTAATTTCTTTTTTTTCAAAAGTTATAGATTGCATGTTGCATGATATATCGGAGCATTTCAACCGTGCTTATGGTCACATTTCCCTCCCCACGTGAAGGTGCGATGTAAATGCAGGTTTTTAAAGGAAGAACATTGTTAAATTTTGTTATCATTTATCTGAAAACAAAACATTGTGTAGTGGCAATTTTCTGGTAGCAGATTATAATATCGATCTAAATCGAGTAATGATTTGTGAAATTAATTCACAATTTGTTGTGACCCCATTCTTGCCCCTAAGGGTGAGATCTCCCATGTGAGAGATGAGGCAAGTCAACCAGGACAGAACTAGATCATTGTCTTTACTTACACATTGTATATTGTTACAAAGGAATTGTACATAACACAAAAGTGGCCTTATGGAACTGGAGCTGTTTATCTCACTTCTGTAGCATTCCTGGTAATTTCACATAAAGATCACTTTGTGTTTATTTCCTTTGCAGTAGCAGCCATTTCAGTAAAGCACAAACTTTATAGCAAAGAGAATGATACACAATAAATTAATTTCATGTTTTGTTTATTATGCAGTAATACAGTTTGGTTTTGCCACCATTTTTGTGGCATCGTTTCCCTTGGCACCTCTCCTGGCATTGATTAATAACATCATTGAAATAAGAGTAGATGCTTGGAAGATGACCACTCAGTTTCGACGGATTCTGTCAGCCAAAGCACAAGACATTGGAGCCTGGCAGCCAATTCTCCAAGGAGTAGCTGTTTTTGCTGCTGTGACAAATGTGAGTAATTCCTATGTCTTGGAATCACTTGTAACTTGTGTATCTCAGAAGGAAATTAAGAACATTTCAAATATGTGGGGGAGGAGTCTGACCTGGGTGTGGAGTGATAGCTGAGTTGGTGTGGGAGCCACATCAGGCAAGCAGAACTTCTGGATCTGAAAAACATCCTTAAGTTTTTGTACAAAGTATCTATATATCCAGAGGGACTGGAGACTTTTCTGTTATAAAACAAATATGTTGCTTTAAACTTATATGAACACTATGATGGAACTTCAATTTTGCATCATTTCTATCATGTTGGATAACCAACGTTGGGCAACATAATAACCAGAAAAAAATACCATTACAAAATGACTAGAAAAGTTAAGACATATTATGGAACATTCAAATAGAGGTAATGATCATAACCTACTCATTTATTTTCTAGATATTTGGATTTGATGTCTAGATTTTGTGTTTTGTGTGATTATTTGATTAGTTAAAATACCTTTTATTTTTTTTATAGGCATTAATCATTGCTTTTACATCTGACATGATTCCCAGACTTGTGTACTACTGGTCGCTATCAGTATACCCCTATGGACAATTTAGCAGCCCAACCATGGAAGGCTACATCAACAGCTCTCTCTCTGTTTTTAGAGTCTCTGATTTCACTGATCGCAGCAAGCCTTTAAAAGTACCTTACTGGTTTGACCCTGACGTTGATGCCACCTGCAGGTTAGTCATATGTGTTAAAGTAAAAAAATCCTGTTATAAGCAAGAATAATGTTTTGTTTAACATTTCTAGGGTTTTTGATAAATGCCTTCTGAATATTAGACCGGAAAAGCTTTAGACAGACAGCAGCAGCTCCAAGTTGAAGTGGAAGCACTAGTTTTAAACTATGATTCTAACCTCGTTGTGATTCAAGTGGCCCTTTATTTTTGTATTTGTATGAAAATACAGTGCAGCTCTGATCATTTCCTTTAGAGCGCTATTATTGTCTTGATAGTATGGAGTCTTTCAATTCGAATACAGCATCTTTAGGTTTTGATACTAGGCAGAGTATGTTTTGAAAATGAAACAATGTTCTGATTTTGTTAGGTATCGTGATCTGCGATATCCTCCTGGTCATCCTATGGAATACCATCACAGCATTCAATTCTGGCATGTGATGGCTGCCAAGCTGGCCTTTATTATTGTTATGGAGGTGAGGAGTCATTCTGCTATTTCCATAAAAATTGTATTTGTGTTTGTTCAATATCATGACCATGACAATGAGTTAAGATTATAATATAATAATAATCCTTGCATTTGATCTAGCGCCTTATCACATCTGCAAGACATCTAAAGCGCTTCACAGAATATACTGTAAACTGAATTGACTGTATATATTTTATGGGCAAAATGTGGCAGACTATTATGCGCACCAGTATTCCACAAACAGTTGTGGATTGAGTGACCAAATTTTTTTTAATACAAAGAGCTACAATTCACCCATGTCACAAGTTTTAAACTTTTGTATATTTCACACAAGCTACTTGAAACTTAAATCCATTTAGCATATTTTTCACCATTATGACAGAAATTCTGGCAATTTAATATACAGCACTTTAATTTAAAACATATGAGATTTTAACATTTTTCTGAAATCTGGCTCATAAATAGCAAATACATCTGTATTAATTATTTGAATGTTGAAACCAGACATGGCTAAATATCGTCTATAGCCAGATAAACATAAGATTTCTAAAGACATATGAAATATTGTTCAAGGAAATGAAAATGTTCTATACTGATGCATCATCTTTCAGGCAGAGTCTCGTATTGAATGATGAATAAGCACTGCACTAAACAGCCTTACACATGTTCTTAATATGTTTATTGTAAAGCAGGAAAAGGCACAAAGCCAAAGCCATAAATTGAAGTATTCATAGGTCTTTATGCAATAGTCCTATTATTTATTTCAGAAATATTATTATATTTTTATTTTTTTGCAGCACATTGTATTTTTGGTGAAATTTATTCTCTCTTATGTAATACCTGATGTGCCAGAAGTAATTAAACAACAAGTTAGCCGGCAAACGTACTTAACACAGAAGCTCCTGCATGAATCTCATCTCGCAAAATGGAAGGAACGCGGATTTGATGCTAGCAGGGAAGGTTTAACGAACATAAATGTTGGGAGTTCGTTTGGTAAAAGTAGTGTATAAGGGCTTGTGAAATCAGTCCATGCTGTTTGTTTTACACATTTGTATTTCTGTTCTGGCTGATTTTTCAAAAAGGTCAACTATCCAGAATTTGGCAGATCATGCTTTCTTCCACACCAGGCTCTCCGAGCCTATCAACTCCATCCTCACTTGGTTCCCTGCGCTCTAACAGATTGAACCAAGATCTTTGTCTTTGGTTCAAATCTCCACATGGCTTTGCCCCACCCTACCTCTGCGACCACCTGCAACCCTATCATCCTGACAACTTATTTCACTCAACAAACATTAGCTTCATTTTCCCCACCAACCTATCACCATTGGAGGTGTGGTGGGGGGGAGTTTTCAGCCATTCTGCTCCCACTCTCCATCCCGGAGTCCCTCCACCTTAACGACTCCATCCCTACCTTTAAAGCCTACCTTAAAAACTTTTTTTCAACTGTACTTTTGGTGACCTCCTCCCCCCCACCACCAGCTTAGGCTCCCAGGTGGCTTTGTGAAGCACTTTGAAACGTCCTTCCAACATGAAAGGTACTATGTAAATGAAAAATAGTTGTTGTTATTGTCAAAGACTTTGGAGGGAAAGCTTGCAGTGTTTCCTAACATTTCTTTACCCGATTCTATATAAACATGTGAATCGACTCATTCATTTTGTTCCTTCTATACTTTGCTTGCCATATCAACTTTTTCCACTTGTGATGTTGCTTAAGATGTTTCAACAGTCTACATTGACAGTCAGTTGCTGTGACCACCAACGTGCTTGGCTCAGGTGGGTCCAAACCTTTAGAACACTGTGAAATCCAGAATTTGAGGCCTTCGACAGACCGATTCATTATTTATATCGCCAGTGCCTTGGGACATCCTCTTGACCTGAAAGGCGTTATACAAATGTAATTTGTATTGTATCGTAATTCAGAAGAAGCTGTGGTTCAACTTAGCTTCAAAAGTTCTAGGGATTATTTTTCTAAAACCACTAAGTGTAGCAAATCATGTTATTGTGCTCTTATAATGGGATTGCACAAGCCTGTTCTTATTATGCTCGTATTTTACAGTGGTATTAACAGAATTCTATGCGGTGGGGGGTTGGGGGGGGGTGGCAGGGAGAGGGGATACTTTCAATCTGAGCTGCTTCATCCATCAGCACCATTTTTTAAAACTTCTCTTTCTGAGAGAATAAATTCCAACTATACATAGTAAGAAAATTGCCAAGTGGAGACCCGTCTTATTGGATCTCCTACCAAAAAGAACTGTAAGGCTAGCCATGTTTTGCTCTATCGCAGTGGTGGCTAACCTTTATGGTCGGCCATCAAAATAAATTTTCTTCATTGAATATTTCTTGATTTAGGCCATAAATCGATCAAACATGGACTTAACTATACTAGTGTGAATGTTCCTGACAGCCCCGTGGGTCACTTCCAAGTAGGTCACCACTGCTCTATCATCTGATTCTGTTACGTTGAACAGTGATTGCTTTTCTTCCTTGAATGCCAATCTCAGCACTTTCAGTTGAATTAGAAAATGCCAATACTGCCGAGTAAATTTGTGACTTGTTACAAACATTAAAAAATCTGAATTAATGAAATCATAACGTGGTTACAAGCACACTTGGCCCAATTTGTCTATTTAGATGCTAGTACATCTAGCTGCACTTGGACTTATTTAAATGCCAAAGCGATCTTATTTTTGGTTACAACTGCATTCTCATTTTACGTGTCAGCTACGCTTGAAATAAAGTGTTGGGAGATCACAGAGCATTTAAAGAAAAACTGGATGTTTATATCAATTTTCACTAATAATATAAAGGAAAGCAATAAATGATCCTCTTTCTCAAAGTAATTCCATCAGAGTCAGGCTCACTGGAACACGATGAGAGAGCAAGAGGGACAACAATAACACATTTTCTTTTGGGTGATTTCCATAACACTTCCATTGTGACTTCACAGGTATCTATCTATCAATCAGTGAAATCAAAGTTATCAAAGTGATATTTAACATAATGGCAGCTATCCTGTGCTAGTTATTAGTAGGTAGCAAACATTTTAAGGTAATGCATTATAAGTATACAAAGGAAATGTTGCTGTCCATTATGCAGATAGAGATCCATCTGCGTGGCACAATTGAGGTTAAGTACCTGGGTGTTAAGTATGTAGTCATATGTAGTCTGGAGTATATCTGCTAAACAAAACAGAACAATGAACACAGAACGATTTCTCCTGTGACAAAGTGTGGCTATTCAATTTTACCAAATCCAGATATATGCAGCATAACCATGTCTGACCACCTCCAGAAGAGGACAATTTGTTTCTCCTTTAAAAATATTTTATACCTTGGAGATTATCTCTGTTGCTACAAATATTATACATTGTCACAAATAACAAAAATCATTTAAAAACTTGTTTACATTGCTGGTGGGTTTAGGAGTGTTTTAAACTGAAAGGACTTCCACTCAATATACATTTTAATGTTCGGTGATATTTTCACTTGATGTTTGTTAATTAATGCATTTTAAAAAATATTTTAAACTTCTATTGTATTGCATCCATTTAATGTGCAAATACAACAATGAAAGGTCCATTTGTTTAATCGTGCAGCCATGAATATAAGAATAATAAGATTACTTTAGCCTGAATACAGTTTGTTCAAATTTATGTTTAGTTATGTGCTGATGAAGTTCACAGATGTGGCTGAACAAATGTAATTAATCATGTATTTTACATCTTTGGAAGGTTTGATATCTGTTTTGGTAAGTGATTTTATTAAAATTGTTATGAAGCCACAGTGCATATAGTTTATTTAATTCTGACTTGCACTAGAATCCTCATTAATGAACAACAATAAGGGGATGAAAACTCCATTCATTTGCTTTAGTTTTTTTGTGGTGCAACTAAGGTGAAAAACACTTCCCTAATTCCTAATAATAATCCTTGCATTTGATGAAGCACCTTATGTTATTGAGACGTGATGAGGCTTCCTACACCTCAATGTTGACAAGATGGAAGCCATACTCATTGGCTCCGGTCAACATTTTCTATCCTGTGGCTCTAAACTCTTCAACCCCCTGGCCTATCCCTCAGACTTACTGAAGCAGTGCGCAACTTGGGCATCAGCTTTGACCCACAGCTGTTCTTCCTTCCCCACATCCAATCCTTGACTAGAACCACCTTCCTCCACCTCTGCCACGTTGCCCGTCTCCGACCGTACCTTACCCCAAGCATAGGTGAAACATTCGTCCATGCGTTCATCACCTCGTGACTGGGCTTCTCAAATGCCCTCTTTGCTTGTCTCCCCAGCTCCATCATGTACAGGATCCAAGCAATCCAAAACTCCACCCCCTGCATACTCACCAGTACTGAACTTTGTACCCTCATCACACCAGTTCAAGCCAGGCTCCCCATCACCGAACAGGTCGATTTCAAGATCCTCACACTCATTTCCAAATGCCTTCATGCCCTGGCACCTCCCTACCTTTCTGACTTGTTTAACCCCCAACTAACTGCCTCCATTCGACTGGCTCCGGGCTTCTGCATGTCCCTCGTGCTCTCCGTTCCACCATCAGTGGCCATGCTTTCAGCTACTATGTTCTGGAACACCCTTTCTCTATCCCTCCATCTTGCCCTTTCCTTCCCCATTTTCAGGTCATGCCTGAAAACCTTCCTGTTCAATCGTGCCAATAGTCATCTCCCCCCACTCGGAGTCATGCTCCTCCACTGTCAAGTGCTCTGAGATGCTACCCTATGTGGAGGGTGCTATATAAGTGCAAGTTGTTGTGCAATTCTTGTAATCTTCTTGTAAGAAAACTTGTTGTAACCTTTCTACTTTTGAGTGAATGTCATCAGTACAATAATAATATAAATAAAATGCAGCAACCATGTTGAACCTTGTTTGATGCATTTTATTTAAATTATTATCATTGTAACAATAACATTTACTCAAAAAAAGTAGAAAGGTAACATCAAGTTTTTTTGCAAGAAGGTTACAAGAACTTTCTGCAAATTAGTTAAATTGCAATTTTACTATCATCTGTGCACAATCCTGTCAAAAGATGGTAGCCAAAGAGGGAGATAAATTTGTTACACCGACTTAAAAAAAAATTTAAGTCGATGTTCTGTAGAGAGATCAGGGAGCAGAGAAGAAAAAACAACCTTACAGAGAAATTATGAGAGGTTTGGATGAGGAAGGTCATCCAGCCCATTTGACTCCTTTCTTTTAGAATATCCACCCTACTACCCTTCCCACATAGATTTTGTAAAGTCAGTGTGATTTAGAATGGCTGAAATGTACTGTATCCTCATCTCATTTCAATCAGAGTATTATTTCCACCTTCTGGTTACAAAGAGTATCACAACACTTTGACATCTGCTGTGCAGATTGTAAAGAATTGCTGTAGAATGGGATAACTGGCACCGCCTTCCATCACCTCCGGAATATCGCCAGACTACGGCACTACCTCACCCCTCACGCTGCTGAAACTCTGGTCCATGCCTTTATCACCTCAAGGCTGGACTATGGGAACTCTCTCCTCGCCGGCCTTCCCGGCCCTCCCTCCACAAGTTGCAGGTCATTCAGAACTCTGTAGCTCGTGTACTGTCCCGCACGAGGCTTCGGGACCACATCACTCCCACCCTCGCTCACCTCCACTGGCTCCCCATCCCCCAGAGGATCAAATTCAAGATCCTCATCCTCACCTACAAGGCCATTCATGGCCTTGCTCCCTCCTACCTCTCCGACCTACTATCCCCCTACCTACCTGCCCGTACCCTCCGTTCCTCTGGCTCCGGTCTGCTCCACATCCCCCGCCCCAACCGCCCTACCATCGGTGGCCGGGCCTTCAGTCTCTCAAGATTCCATTTATAAAGCGCCTTTCATGTCAGGAGGACGTCCCAAGGCTCTGGAGCTCTATCCCCCATTGCCTTCGCCACCTCCTCCCTTTCCTCCTTCAAGGCCGGTCTCAAGACCTTTCTCTTTGACCGTGGCTTCAGCTCCCCTCTCGACTCTCTACCCCCTCCTCGCTCCCTCCCTTCCCTCACCCTGACCATTTCCCCAATGCTCGGGTCCTGACCCAACTGTACAGCGCCTTGGGACGTCCTCCCGACGTGAAAGGTGCTCTATAAATGGAATCTTGTTGTTGTTGTTAGTTTTCTTATTTATGAAGTTAAATATGAGAGATTGTAAGTATCAATGTACTCAGCACTGTGAAAACCATCTGGCAAACTAAAATCACAACTATATTGACAACAGTAACCATTGTTCCCACACACCAACAATCTTTTTCAATTAGTTTTTTTTTGCCAAATGAGACAAAACACAATCTTCACTTCAACAATGCCATTCTTTCAAAGGTATTTTCATGAGTTAACAAGCACAATATAGCCCAGCTCTTTTACATTTTAAAATAATAGAGACTGCATCAGGCTCAAATTTGGTAAGATGGGGCTTGATCCATGGATGTGTTAAATGGTTCTTAGTAATGCCATTGAGGGATTCAGCAGAAACCATAATGGCAAGTGGAAACATTGAATGTTATAATTCTTCTTTCTTATAATCCACCAAAAAATGAGATTTTTTGTTGTTTTTTGTAGTCAAGGGTGTGACTGCTTTAGAATCTATTTAAAAATAATTTTTAAAATATTCTGAGAAATCAAGAATGGTTGATATGATCTGATTCGAGATGTGATTTGCAGCCAAACATACCTTATTAATGGAGTGATGAGTGATTTCACCACCACATTATTTCATCATAATGAGGGAGAGGGGATTTTAACAAGCATCAAAGATCTCAAACTAGTATCCAAAAATGTTGACTGAACAAAAGCGTTAGATGTTACTTAAAGGATTAAAACAATATTTGTCAACACCATTTAAAAAAAGGCACTATTTTCCTGTCTTATTTTAGCTTTCTCTTGTGTTAAATATTTATTGTTTAAACATTGGGTTCTGCTAATACGATCAGTACAAACTGGCTTGAGGTAGTTGGGCAGTTCTGGTTTGTTTTAGTTTGCAAAGCACTGAATTTGTTAAACCATACTTAAATGAGACTTTGCTCAGGTATAATGATTTAAAGTGGAAACATATATGTTAATTTAACCAAGTTTAAACGAGATTATCTGTTGGTGTTACACATTATGGCTGAAGGAAAACATAGGTTTGTAACTCAAAAATTTTAAATTGAAATTATTGTAGAGGCTAGTATCTTAAGAAACAAGCATTTACTAGTTAATTATATGCAAGTTATATGTCAAACTGACAAAGATGAACAAAGTTGTGGGTATGAAAATGATGAAAATGCCTTGTCATTGTATAACACTTGGCTTCTTTTTTACAATGAAAGCTTTCATCTATGCAAATTCAGCAGATGTACCAAAGAACCCAATATATTGCGGGAATGTAAGTAATAGGAAATACTACACATACGCATGTTTTTGGCTTCCTGCCTCAAAATATTAGGTTAATAAATGGAGTTCTTTAAGTACAGAAATGGAGGATGTCTCCAAGTGCTTCACAGGATTTTTTGTGAAGTAGTTTAACTGTGTATTTGTAGGTGAATCATTTAAAATAATTATTTAAATATTGAGACACTATGCTATAGGGGTAATTATTACTTGTTGATAGGAAAATGTTTTAAAAACAAAGAACTTGTTTGCTAAAATATTATTCATATTACAGACTCCTCCCACTCCTCCCCACCCAAAAAAGGCAATCATTTAAAGGACAAAACAAAATCGCTCTAACATTATTTTTGTTTACTTACTTGCTCATTGGACAGTTTCACTTTGGCACTTCATTTTGGAATGTGTGACTGGAGCAACAGTTATTTATTATTTTGCTTTAAATATACAGTTCTTAGACCTTTCATTCACCTACATAATCACGGTCACTACACTCTTCAGTATGTCCTGTGAAGTGCATTGAGATTTCATGATGTGATCAGGAGTTATATGAAAGAATTATTATTATACCAAATAATGCTTGATATTTGCATTCAGCAATCCTCTTCCAGTGAACAAATTATATTTTTGTAAGAATTTTTTGATACCTGTGGCAGAATGTTCAAATACATTGTTTGTTACAAGTGTGTCTATGTGTGAGGTAACTGACTCCTGACTTGCAGGGTTAATAGGAACTAAGTGGGAGGATTCCTATCCCCAGTGATTGGTTGCCCTTCTAAGTCCTGCCAAAGAGCCAGGCTGGCTGTCCTGTCTTCAGCAGTACTGCGGACCCGCCTGGCTCAGGAACTGGACTACCGAGCCCCCACAGCGGACTGGCTTGATTCCAGCATTCCATTACCAAGCATGCCACTTTGGAGCCAGTCAGACTCAGCTTACCTCTCCTCCCCAACCCCACTACGGGTAAACTATACACTGTCACTAGATTTAGGATAATGCATTAATCTCTGATTTTTGTCCTTTTTATTTTAAGCAAACAGCTATGGAGGAAACATTGATTGAAAGAAATGCTGCACCACAGTACAGGGAGTTAGAAGTAGAAGGGCAGATTTCGGTCACTGCTTTCACTCTCTTGCTCGTGAAAGCTTGCAAGACAGAGATATCAATGGCAAACTATGCAGTTTTAGCTGGTTAGACTCCAGCAGTACCCCAACGCACACTCTGGAGTTCCCAAGCCTTGGCTCTTGCCAACCTGGGCCTAATACTTTCCGGAATTAGGTAAACAGGATGCGTCCCTCCAAGAAGAGTGTGCATTCCATTCTAACAATCTATCTCTGGAATTTCCACGTGTCGGTGGAAAGCATGGAATTTTCAGTTTAGTTGGGATACTTATAAGCACGGTGGCATGTCAGACACCTCTGGCCGACCAAAAGTTTGTGACAGCACCCTACACTATTCACCAACAGAGGGCAAAACTCTGCATTTACAAAGCCAATCCAAAAAACCACTGTGTAAGTGCTGTATAATATTCTAAACCATACTAGAAAAACGAAACTATATGAATGATTTGTTTTTTCAAATGAATGCAAAAGACTACAATTCCAATGAACTAACACATTGAAATCGGAATCCTAGCCAGCCTTCGAGGGGAAAAACTACATAACAATTTACATTTAAATAGAAGTCCCTGGGAACACTCGGCAGCATCTATACTGGTTCCGATGCAGGGTCAGAAACATTGACTCACTTTCCCTTTTCCATAGATGCTGTCTGATCTGCTAAGTGTTCCGAGCGACTTCTGTTTTTGTTTCAGATTTCCAGCATCTGCAGTATTTTGTGTTACATTTAAATAGTCTTTCAGTTGGGAGGGCGTCCCAAAGCACTTAACAGTACTTTGGCTGGGCACCCATGTGAGGGTGGGAGCTGAGGGGGTGGGGAGGGGAAAGATGGTGGAAATCAATCAAAAGAATGCCAAACAGAGCAAAGCCACTTGCATACAAGAAGGACAAGAGAGCAAAGCAATGAAGACCATTCCTCGAAAACTCTATGAGTCCCCAATTATAAGGTAAAATTAGCAGTTGCATCTTTAGAAACATATAGAACAAATAAAATAATCTTTGCATTTGATTTTCATGTCAGGACATCTCAAAGTACTTATAGGATTTACTGTTAAATACAGTAACTGTATTTTGCAGGCAAACAGCACCCAATTTGCACAGCAGTCTTACAAACATCCATGAAGTGAATGACCTTTTGTTTTTAATCTGAGGGATTTCAAGTGCTCCAAGACATTATATATGAAGGGTGCTTTATAAATTCAGTTGTTGTTGGCTATGGACACTAGGAGAAACTCTACTCTTTTAACTGTTACAAATTCTTGAATGTCTACCTGAACAGGCAGAGGAGAGGACTACAGTTTATTGTCTCATCCAACGGACAGCAAGTGCCACAATACAGCATTCCTCCAGCTGCATTGGTGTGTCAACCCAGATGTGCAAAGACCGAATGTGCGGCTTGAACCCACAACCTTCCTTTTAAAGTGAGATTGCTTCCGACTGAGCCAGGCTGGCACCTGAAATATAATTAAATATACACGTACACTGATACAAACAAAAGTAGAAATTCAACAGATGGTTGACGATAAATGCAAAATGTACATTACAACGATCACCAATGCATGTGTTGAATTTCTGACCATTAGTTACTAGATAAAAGTAAGTTACGGAAAAGATTAAAAGGAACCCCTAATACCCAGTCCCTGCTGAGAAGACCGGAATCGGCTAATTTCATTCTTCAATCAACTGCAAGGAGCTGGATTGGAACAGCTGAATGGAGACTTGGTCTGTTTTTTCTTTCCTTTCCTATTGGGAAAGTAACTAAACTGACATTCACTCTGCCTTTTAAATCTTACAGAATGACAAGAGCAGGAGTTGGGTAACTGGTAGTTACAACAAAAATCAGCCTCTTTGCACTTCATACTACAGCCAATAATTATGCAGCAAATTCTTCTTGACCAATGTAAAATTTAAACATTACAAAACAAGCAACAGTTGAGGCAGTCTTTTATGAACCTTCTCAGATTTTAATAGGAAAATATATTTTATACAGTCTAGACAGCTATATTTAAAAGCATATAACAATCCGTGCATTTGATATAGTGCTTTTCACGTCTTCGAGACATCTCAAAGCACTTCACAGAATATTAGTCTTAAGTGAATTGACTATGTTTGTGGGCAAAATGCAGCAGCCAATTATGCGCAGTAGTGTCCCACAAACAGTCCTGGATTGAGTGACCAAATTATAATTTTTTTTGAGGGATTATCATCAGGAAACTCGCCCAAGGTTTAATTTAGTAATATTTCATCAATGCAGCCAATAAGTGACTTGCTTACACCAGTGAGTGTTTGGATTCATAAGTATCAATTGCTAATTATAGCGTTCATACAGGTGTTATTTGTTGTAGTTTGAATATCTTACACACAACATACAAAGCTACACACAATAACTTTTCAAAAAGGAAGTGGTTAAGGTCGCAGACAAAAGTTTATCGAGTATATAAAGGCGGTTTGGTTGCTTTCTCCAAGTAGTGATATTTTCTATAACTGTTCCCCGTGCAGCTAATCTTTCTACGTAACCGCTTTTTTTTAAAAAAAATATTGTTTTGTCTGGACCTGAATAGATTTCCAGTTCAGAAATACCGTGTAGTCGACCCGACTGGAAGCGAGTCGGGGAGGTCACGGTGGAGACCTCTCAATAGTCTTAGATTTGCTCCAGTCTAAACTGAGCAAAAGGCGAAGGCTGCGGCTCGCTCGCTCGCTGCTGCCTCGGATCGGTGCCTTTTTTTTTCGCGCTGCGAACAAAACGCAACGCGAAGTTGGAAGCCTCTTCAGCACCTCCACGTGGTGGGGGGGAAAAAAAGCCCAAACAAAAACTGGCGCAGGCAGGTGCGTGCGGGCAGCGGGCAGGGCCTGCCTGGTCCGTCGGGTTTTAGTCAACTCGGGGATTCCCCTCTCCAGCGAGTCCAGCGGAGGACAGACAAACCGCCGAAACCCACCGCCATGACCCTCACCGCCAGCAGCTCCCACAAACTGCACACAACAACAACAACTCCTCTTCTTCTCTCCCCACCCCGACTGCTATCAAAACAACGTCAAAACAACCTCCCCTCACACACACACACACGCGCGCGTCTATATATATATATACGTATAGGGAAACTAATTTCACTCAGATACAAAGCATCACACGCGAGAGAAAATACAAAGTAATCCACAGCTCTTCTTCCCTCACCCCCCCCCCCCCCACACACACACACCCGGAATAAACTGCCACCGCAACACGAGGGGCGCTCCTCTTCTCATTGCCATCGCGAACCTCCCAACGCACCGTTCGTTTCTGAAACCAAATTTTTTTCGAGAGAAAAAAAAACACGACCCCGCTTTTTTTTCGGTGAAGAAGCGTTTTGGAAATTGAATAAATAAAAATGTCGCCGAGCAGCGAAGGAGGCGGCCGCTGGGGGAGCGCCGCCATTTTGTGTGGTGTGTGTGCCTGTCTGTGCGTGCGTGCGCGCGCGCGCGCGCGGCGGGGGGAGGGGGTTCGTGTAATGGTTGAATAGGGACACCCCCTCTCGGGGCCAGGCTGTGGCGGCCGCTCCGGCTGAGACGAGGCGCTATTGTTTCGCCGCTTGGAGCAGAGCGAGTGAGAGAGAGAGAGAGAGAGTGAGAGAGGAAAAGAAAGGGGGGAGGGGAAGAGAAGAGGCTCGAACTGCCTCTACCACCACCAACGCCGCCGCCGCCGCCACCCGGGTGCCTCGGCCGCTGCCACCGCCCGCGTCTTGTCTTCTTACCACAGCGGAGTGCATGGAGCCGCCCGGCGGCAGGAGCACAGCCCGTGTGTGAGGCGGCCCCGAGTCACTCAACTCACTCGCTCACTCGCTCGCTCGCACTCACTCACTTACTCACTGACTGACTGAGAGGGCAAAGAAATAGCACAACAATAACAAACGGCGGCCGGGGAGGGAGGGAGGGAGGGAGGAGAGAGAGATTCCCATCCCGGGCGGCGTTTAATTCCTTTATCTCTCATCTCAACCCTCGGCTTCGGTTATAGAAAAGGATCACTCGCGGGAGCCGGGAGTGTGAGCGGCGTTTTATTTAACTCTTTTCTTTTTTAAAAAAATATATAATATACCGTCCGCGTTTCCTCTCCTCCTCCTCTTTCCCTCACTTTAACTTTGGCAGTTGATCAATGAGCGAGCGGCGGCGGCGCCGCGGCGGGGACCCGCTCTGAGGCTCACTAAGTTGGTCTTGTGTGTGTGTGTGTGTGTGTGTTTTTTTTTGTGTGTGTGTGTGTGTTTAAAGGAGGGTATTTTCTTTGGGGTTTTATTTATTATTCCGGGAGGGTTCACCCCTCCACCCCACCCCCACACACCGCCCTCCCCCCCCCCCCCCCCCTCGCGCTTGAGGTTTATCGGGTTTTGTTTTTTTAAAACGAAAACATAAAAGACGCACGAAAAAACAGCAAATAACAAGGGACGGTGGAGAGGGCGAAGGAGGATGAAAAAGTCGAGCCATTGGACGGCGAAGCGGCAGCAGCAACAGCAGCAGCAGCCCTCAGAGCCGAGGAGGAAACGGCAGGCGTTCGTGGAGGAGCTGCGGCAGTTTCACCAGCATCGAGGGTGAGAGAGAGAGAGAAAGAGAGAGAGAGAGAGGAAGAAAGTTTTTGTTTCTCTTCCCCCACTCCCCCCTCCACTCTCCTCACAAAGAAGTCGCTGCGGAGGAAGGTCCCGGACTTCGCTAATCATTTCTCTCTCTCTCTCTCTCTCTCTCACACACGCAGATCGCCTTTCCACAGGCTGCCGGTGGTGGCCGGCCGGGAGCTGGACTTGCTCGCTCTCTACACCAGGGTGACCGGTCTGGGCGGCTTCGCCAAGGTGAGCCGAGCCGACCGCTAACCTCCCGTTACCCCCTCCCCCCCCCCACCACCCCCGCGAAGGGTGTGTGTGTGTGTGTATGTGTGTGTGGTAAACGGCGGCAGGTCGTGTGGCCCGTGGCCTGACGACGCTTCTTTCTTTCTTTCTCCCCCCACCGCCCCCCCCCCCCCCCCCCAACCAGTGGCGCGGCTTTTCTTTCTCTCTTTCTTTCTTTCTTCCTTCATTTGTTTATATTTCCTGCCGACTCCAAAATCAGCGGCGCTTTCCAACGTCCTCACCGGCGCCGTCCCTGCGCTTCGGGGAAGACTCGCTCGCGCCACTTCTTTCCTCTCGTCCCCGTCCCGAAGACGGTTGCGAGAGGGAGGACAAAAAAAAAACACCCCCCACCACCACCCCTCTGGGTGGCTCTCTCTGTGTGTGTGTGTGTGTGTGTGTGTTTGTGTGTCGAGCTTCGCGGGTGGGGGGTGGGGGGTGGTGGTGGTGGGGGGATGTAGGCCTCATGCAGGCCCAGTGATGGTCTCGGTGAGAAGGGAGAAACTGGTGTAAAATGCCAGTGCTTTGAGGTTTGATGAAGTTTCAAGGCTGTGTGTGTGTGTGTGTTTTGTTTTGTGTTGTTTGGGGTTTTATGGTCTCGCAGGTGCTGACTGTACGAACGACTGTATAAAAACCGGGACAGGTCGCGCAATTCAAAAGGGTGAAGGGAACAGATGGTATGTTCTGTTATCTGATAATGTACGTGTGTACGTGTACGCGTGTTAATCGGGATTATGATCGTGTTTTTGCCGCAGGTAACCGACAAGAACAAATGGCCACAAATGACCGAAGAGTTCAACTTTCCCAAGGGTTGCCCCAATGCAGAGTTTGCCTTAAAACAGTATTACCTACGGTAAGATTTGTCGCGCACATCAATTCAATTTTAACAGTCTTTGAAAGTTGGTGCCGCTTATTTCAGGATGAAAGTAATCATCCCAAACTACTAGGCTCCCTTAGCTGTAAGATGTTACTCAAAGCGATCCTTTTCTTTACACGAATTACTGGTTTGTAACTTCAGCTGCTATTCAAGATTGTTTGTTGCCAAATTTGTTGCTCCTCCTTGTTACTACGTCTGATAGTTTCTTTCACGTGCAGTTTAAAAAAATGCACAGGTGTCTGACCCACTTTCACAGCAACAGTTTATAGTGAAGCCTCATACAGTGTTCACCGCTAATATAGTTAATATAATATAGAAACGGTAATATAATGTAATACAATTGAAGGAAACATTGCAGATATTTACATCAGTCAGTCTCAGTGACAAAACATAAGCACTTGTAGTACCACATGGATGTTACTACAGCACATTAAGTCAAGATGAGCAGCTTTCATTGTTTGAATAATCTGATTGCATTTTTTAAAAAAAACAAGTGCTTTTATATCATTTTTGCCTTATAACTAACTCCAAGTGAATTAGGAAGTCATTAGGAATGCTGTTTGTGGTGTGTGATATTTTTCTTCTACTTCAAATGTAATGGTAGAAATAAAGGAACATCGGCTATTTTTTAAACCTAAGGATTTTCACAGGACTGTTGCTACATAAATTTTCACATGCATATCTCATTGGTAAACATGGTAGGTTCCCACTCACCACAAACATACATGTTTGTATTGTCTTAAGAGAAGCTGAAACATACCCAACTATTTTACAATAGGTTGGTGAACATGCATGTACAATTGTAATGTTTACTTAATGACCTCTAGGTGTTTTGATTAGGTTGTGTAAATACCAATATCTATAGGTGGAAATAGCAACATTAATGAAAATGTTTTAGTATTGACCTTTATTTCATAGCTGGGTGAAATGTGATTTGAGGCATTGGAAAGAAAATTGATGGCAAAGACCAATACATTTTTTAATGCAGAAGATTTCTAGCAAATACAAGCAAACTGATTAACACTAAATATGACTTGGCCTTAACTCAATAAGATTAGATTCATTACATCATACATAATAACATTTTATCATCACAATTCCACTTACATTTGAAAAAAATTGAAAAGGCTTTGATTTGTATACCATGTCTTAATTTTGTTTTAGTAAACAATGCCTTTGTTTTAAAATAATAATGTAACTTTTTAAATGTCGGACTCTCATAATCAGGGAAAGCAGTATGTATCTTTCATTATTCGATGCAAATCCTAAAATCCTAAAGTGTAAATTTTTCTATAGATGTTACAAATTATAGCATTTTTTACATCTCCAGGCATCAAGAATGCTATTAAATCTGCAACTTTTTGAGAAATTTAAAATTTAGTGTGCACCCAAAATGTTTGTAATCATTCTATAGTAACCATATGGAAATGAGGACAAAATTGATATTAAAGCTTTAATCCAGTTTCTGAAATTTTGATGAAAGCATATGTGCAGAGCTTATTTGTCCCATAAATCGTGGACATTGTGCTGTTTGGTTTAACATTATTGTCTTAACAGGTGTGTACATTTCAAATGTGTTTGATATCTTTCTAAATCATGCAGTGGTGCTGATCATCAGGTTTAGGTTTGATCAGAATATAACAAAATAAAGAAATAGTTAAAATCCTGCCAGTTTATTTTCTTTGAACATATTTGATGCATTGTATTAACAAAAGCTTTTGTGTATTGAGCATATTTCATCACATTTCCTGACAGATGTGTGTGGCAACTCATGGACAGTGATATTGAAATAGATCTTGATGCTAATCTGGGGCAGAATGTCAAGTATAACTAAATTATGCATAGCTCATAATCTGTGCAGTTCAAAATTTAGTACTGGGTACTTTGCCTTAGTCTGGATTTGCACTATTACAAGGACACTAGGAAGTCAGCCCAATGTTTTGTTTGAATATTCCCAACAAATATTTTCATTGCATATTAGAAGTATAGTTGTGCACTTTTACAGCATTGGATATTTTCAGATTAAAATGGTTAGTTGACTTGCATCAGATGCTGTTGAGAGAATAACTTGATTACTAAATAATTTTAATTGTTTGAGTTGATTGTTTGAGTTGATTTTTAAAAAAATTCCAAAATTGTTAGGAGACACATTGAAAATGATAGTTCAGATGAATTGTTGCAATGGTGATATTTCAGGTAGAGGTTCTTCACAGTGAAATCGAAAGCAGCCTTGGCAAGATACTGGTTTGATCAGAATATAACATAAATTAGTATCATCATGTTCAGAAAGTACTCTCTCCACAAAGGTTGGATTTGAACTTAATGTGTTGGATGAAAAATGTGGAACAGTGTGGTATCAATTGTTTTGTTACATGGTATAACTTAATGGTAGCCATCACATAAAACTGTCTTTTACTAGAACTTTGACACAATAGGTTTCTTTTATTGTTAGTGTTGCGTCATACCAAGCATTTCAGAATGGTAGGTTATTTGCACAAGGTAATTTAGAAACTAATATTTTTTTTGTTTCACCAAAATTAAAACATTTGCATACATTTTTAGAGATTTACATATTTGTTCGTATTGCCATCTCGTCCCACACGTGAAATAGCTCAAGAAAGAAAATGAATGAAATAGTAAGTATCAAAATGTGAAAATACCCTTCTTGCCTGCAGTCATAACCATTCATGTTTCTACTATACATTGTAGCAGAGTTTAAATTCAAACAGGCATTTGCTGAGATAAAGGTAACTAACTGGGAAGAAATGATCAATTGAATATATTTATAAATTTTTAATGAGCTCAAAAGGCTTACTACTGCAGGTCCCTAGAGTTAGTGCTGATAATATTTATAATATCGCACCTGCATGTATAAATTTCAGTAAATTGTTGTATGGATACAAATATGAAATTTTAATTATTAATAAAAGGGGATGGCCAGTACACTGGTATTCAAATTTGTATTATTTCACTGACATTTAACATCAGTACAGGACCATCAGTGTAATAGCAATAACAAATTTCCACCGAAGATCATTCTGACATTGTTAGCGCAGGAGCAGAGAATGGTTTATTGCAGCTACTTAGTAGACATTCTCACTTGTTTGGGGATGATTTGTTTTGAGTGGAAAAATGGAGGCTTATAAATTGCAAATGCTGTGATATTCCAATTTGATAAATATGCTAGTACTGTCATCTCAGAGAGAGATTCCCCAAAATTATTTATAAGAAAGTGGTTGAGTTCTTGGTCTTAACCATCAGAGGTGTATGAATTTAAACTGTAGAGCTGGCCATCATCTCTATAGTTTCTCATAAGACTTTTTCTCCACAATTAATTTAAAACTCCGCGGCCTGTACCAAACTCCATACCCCCATCATCTCAGTTCCTTCCCAGTTAGTTACCTTTATCTCAGCAAATGCATGTTTGAATTTAAACTCTGCAACCCTACTGCAGGATGGATTGATTTCCAGATCCCCACACTCGCGTACAAATCACTTCACGCTTTGGCACTTCCCTGTATTACTGACCTGCTTACACCCCACTGCACTATGCACCACTTTTGTTCGGCTGTCCCCAGCCTCCTGCTTGTCCCTCGAACCTTCGTCTTCAGCAATGCCGGCCGTGCTTTCATCGTGGCTCCAAAACAATGGAACTCTCTGCCTCAGTCCCTCCACCTTCCTGCCCCCTTTTCTATCTTCAGATCGCACCTCTTTGACTGTGTCTACGGTTACCTCCCCACTCTCCTCGCCTTGGCATCAAGCTCAGCCATTGTTAAGTGTTCAGAAGATATCCAAATGAAAATATGTTGTTGCTGCTGCTGTTTTTAGGTGCAGCAGTCAAGCATGGACAGTGAGAAAACTGATGGAATCAAATTAGAGGCTATCTTCTGTTGTGAAGCATCTTTGATGGTTCTTAATTGGCAAGGACTTGGGTTTAAAGATGGAAGTGAAGATAAAAATACTAGTGGGAATTTTAAATATTATAGATGGGGGCATTGGCAATGAAGCCAAGGAAGTGATGTTACATTTGTACAAATGGTTAGTTCATAAAAAGAATCCCTGTATTTGATACCGTGTTTTCATGTTGGGGGTTGTCTCGGAGCACTTCACAGGATTTACTGAAAAATGTAGTGGCTATTATGTAGGTGGATGCGGCAGCCAATTTGCACACATCGGTGTTCTACAAATAGCGTTGAAATGTGCAGGCTATTTTTTTGAGAACACTGGGAGAAACTCCCTTCTCTTTTCAGACATGAGATCTTTAACATCCACCTCAACAGACAGATGGAACTCTCAGTTTAAAGTCTCATTTGAAGAATGTCACTTCCAATATTGCAGTGTTCCCCAGCATCATATTGGAGTGTCAGCCTAGACTGTGAGTTCAAATTTTTTGCATGAGATTTGATCACATTTGAAGTACTCTCTATATTTCTGATACCCCATTATAGAAGGGACAGAGAGCCATAGAAAGCTTAGGGTGTAGATTTTGATGATAAAGGGAACAGTAGGTTATGATTTTGACAAAAGGCTTGAAAAATTAGGTCTGTTTCCACTGGTGCAGAGAGGTTTAACAGGAAATCTGATAATCTTCAAGATTCTGAAAGGTTTCTAAGAGAATAGATAGTGAAATATTATTCCTATTGAATTGCCGACAGGGTGTATATGTTCAGGATTTTTTCTGGAAAAGTTAGAGTGAGGGTACAAGACATTTTTCTGATTCTAAAAGCAGCTGTGAAGAAGTTCATTGCTTAGATTGTCAATCATTACAACTGAGGAAGTCAGAATGGGCGTAAGAGAACCAATGGGGGCTAAGTGAATACAACTGCAAACTTTGCACTGGATCAGAAATGAAAGCTGAATTTCTAGTTGGATAGACTGAATCTGGATTTTCCAGTCCGATTTTTACATTGACTGTGCTCCTGTATTCTGTTCTTAAAAGCTGTTAAACAAATTAATGTACCTAGAGTTAAAATATA